ATTTTATTTTATTTTATTTTATTTTATTTTATTTTATTTTGTTTTATTTTATTTTATTTTATTTTATTTTATTTTTCCTATATATTTCTAATTATCATTCACAATACATTGCCCTTGTGTTTATCAGTAGATAAAAAGTGTAATCAAGCTGTAATCATGTGGAAAAACTATTTCTATTGTATTTTATTTTGTTTTATTTAATTTAATTTAATTTTTTCATTTTATTTTTTCGTTTGCACATTTCCATTTATCATTTACAATACATAACCCCTGTGTTTATCAGTAGCTAGAAAGTAAAATCAAGCACTAATGGTGTGAAAAACTTGTTTTTCGTTTGAATTTAATCAATTTTATTTAATTAAATTTTTATTTTATTAATTTTATTTATTTTTCATTTGCGCATTTCCATTTATCATTCACAAAACATACCCCCTGTGTTTATCAGTAACTAGAAAGAAGGTATAAACAAGCTGTAATAATGTGGAAAACCATTTTATTTTTATTTATTTTAGTTTTTTTTGCACATTTCTTAATAAATTAAATAATAAACAAATAAAAGAATAAATAGCCAGCATGTTTTTCAGTAGAACCCCTGTGTAAATTAGTGTTGTGATTCTCAGGGGTCAGTACATTTAAAGTATAAAAAAGCTGTGATGATGTAAAATGTTTCAACTTTTATTTTTAATTTTCTATTTTATTGCATTGCACATTTCCATTCATCCTTCACAATACACACCCAGCATGTGTCTATCAGTAGCACTGTGAATAATCATTTTTCATCTTTCTGTAAATCTGTTTGTTAGGGTCAGGGGTCAGTAGGAGGAGGTGACAGCACCAGCGAGGTCTCGGTCTCCTGCTCCTCCACAGACGACACAACCAGCGTGGGACGTCCCAGCTCGTCCGCCGAGAGCTCAGAGGAGTCCCAACTCAGAGGAGAAGCGGAGGACGAGGCTAAAGACAGACTAACAGAGACGCCGCTGCCCGCTTCTCTCTTCCGCTCCTCTGGACGACCCCTCTCTCCCTTCCGCAGACACAGCTGGGGTCCTGGAAAGAACCAGGCGGGAGAGGAAGAAATGAACCAGCGCAGGTACAACGTTCAATTTATTCATAAAGCAGGTTAATACAAAAGTTTGAGATTTGTGATTTGTTACAGTATTACAAAATAACAATAAAAGTCAAAGCAAAACAGTAAAACAATACAGAATAAAATCGCTTTCCTTGCCTTAAGACAAATTAAATATCCAGTAGTAAAAAAAATATAGATTTCTTCAATCAATAATCTCTCAGCACACAGACCCCAACCTCAGATTCAACAAGACTCTCAATAACAATCTGTTTCATCATTAAAAAAACCTTCAAATGTCCAAAATTCTAGTAAAAAAAATCTAATTCAAAACTATATTAAAGGAAATAAACTAATAATAATTAATAATGATAATTCCTTACATTTATATAGCGCTTTTCTGGGCACTCAAAGCGCTTTAAACACAATGGGGGTGGGAATCTCCTCATCCACCACCAGTGTGCAGCATCCACCTGGATGACGCGACGGCAGCCATTATGCGCCAGACCGCACACCACACACCAGCTGATTGGTGGAGAGGAGACAGTGATGAAGCCAATTGAAATATGAGGATGGTTAGGAGGCCATGATGGACAGAGGCCAGAGGGCAGATTTGGCCAGGATGCCGGGGTTAAACCCCTACTCTTTTCGAAGGACATTCTGGGATTTTTAACGACCACAGAGAGTCGGGACCTCGGTTTAACGTCTCATCAGAAAGACGGCGCTCACTGAGCAGTATAGCGTCCCCGTCACAATACTGGGGCATTAGGACCCACACAGACCGCTGGTTGGTCACCCCCCGCTGGCCTCACTAACACCACTTCCGGCAGCAACCTAGCTTTCCCATGTGGTCTCCTATCCAAGTACTGACCGGGCGCAGCCCTGCTTAGCTTCATTGGGCGACCATGTGAAAGTTGCAGAGAGCTAGCTGCCGGCAACTAGTTGCAGAGAACTAGCGCAGGTACAATGCTCAATTTATTCATGAAGCACTTTAAAGTAAAGTGCTGGATAAGTTTCAGAAGTGCTTAAATTTGACTTAAAAATACATTTATGTAATACATTTTATTTGAATAACAAATAAAATAATAATTATTATAAAATCAAATGTAAAAATACAATAAACAATTTTATTAATTTTATTTTGCATTACTGTAATTTTTGCATGCTGTAATGTTTCCTTAAATAAATGTCATTATTTAACCAGCGCAGGTACAACGCTCAATTTGTTTACAGTTGAAGTCAGAATTATTTGCCCCCTTTGAACATTATTCTCTTTTTTTAAATATTTCCCAAACAATGTTTAACAGTGCAAGGACATTTTCACAGTATGTCTGATAATATTTTTTTTTCTTCTGGAGAAAGTCTTTATTAGAATAAAAGCAGTTTTAAATTTTTAAAACTTTTTAAAATTTTTAAAATTTTTAAAATTTTAAAAAATTTTTTAAAGTCAAAATTATTAGCTCCTTTAGGCATTTTTTTTTTCGTTTGTCTACATAACAAACCATCATTATACAATAACTTGCCTAATTACCTTAACCTGCCTAGTTAATTTAACCTAGTTAAACCTTTAAATGTCACTTATAAGCTATAAATATAGAAGAAGTGTATAGAAGTGTCTTGAAAAATATCTAGTAAAATATTATTTATTGTCAAAATGGCAAAGATAAAATAAATCAGTTATTAGAAATGAGTTGTTAAAACTATTATGTTTAGAAATGTATTGAAAAACAGAAGTTTAAAAAGAAAATCTAAACAGAAATTAGGAAAAAATAAATAAATGGAGGCTTATAATTCTTACTTCAACTGTATAAAGCTTAAAATGACGTCACTCACACTTAAGGCTGATTTATACTTCTGCATCGAGCGCACGTATGCTCTGGCCGTGTCTTTCGCAACTACGCGTAGCGCAAGCTCTGTGATTGGTCAGCTTGGTAGCGCTGATGAGTGTGGGCAGAGATGAAAGCCTCGCGAGCCTGATGGAGCGAGTGTTTACAAGTGTGGAGTCTCGTGAAGGAGCTTCAGATGGAAACTGTTGTTTTGTGTTTACCTTATGATTAATGTTGTTGCATGTTCACCGATTGCCAACTCAAAATGAGCGAGTTTGGGCCACTTGTACATTAAGTTAACGCTCAGAAAAAAAAAAAACTCCAGCAAAGAAACTCGACACAGAGGAACATAAACACCCACTGCCAGCTAGCGTTTCAGATGTGTTATTGCAGAGGAACACAAACAGCGCGCAGAAGTATATATGCACGTTGCATGCACCATGACTTACACTGATCACTTGACGCAGAAGTATAAACAAGGTTTTAATGGTCATGTGACACCTTCATGCATCTTCAGTCATCCAACCACACTCTTATTTGCTTTGACTTTTTTTTTTGAGACAACATAATTGTTTTATGTTCAATCCACTTAAATTTGTAAAAGCTTATAAATGTTAATTTAATTCTTTCATGGTGACCCATCACAAATCAATTGTGTGAATCCCAGCATTTTTTTTACAGTGTACTTCATATAACTTCATATTTCCATGTCATCTTATACCTCTCATTATCTTTTCATTTTCAGTTCTGTGCAAAATGCAGGAGAGGGGAAGCCTGTGTTTTACAGAAGAAGGTATCTTGTTTTCTTGTTTTTTTATTTATTTTTATTATTATTATTTTTTACACTATTTTAATTGTGTGTTGATCCCTATAGAGCACAACGGTAGCTGGGGTTTCAAATTGAATGTAACTTGTAAAAATGTAAATATTGCTGTAATATTTTAAGAAGAAAGCAAGTTTTAAATCTGTTCGAGAAAAGAAAGCAGAATAGAAACACAGTTGTCCCTTCCCAGGAACAGATGCAAGTTTATTTGTTCATTCATTTTCTTTCGGTATAGTCCCTTTATTTATCAGGGATCACCACAGCAGAATGAACCGACAACTATTCCAGCATGTGTTTTATGCAGCACATGCCCTTCCAGCTGCAATCCATTACTGGAAAACACCCATATACACTCACACACTACAGCCAATTTAGCTTATTCACTTCGCTTATAGCGCATGGCTTTGGACTTTGGGGAAAACCGGAGCACTCGGAGAAAACTCACGCCAACACAGGGAGAGCATACAAACTACACATAGGAATGCCAACTGGCCCAGCTGGGACTCGAATCAGCAACTTTCTTGCTGTAAAGTGACCAAGGTAACGACTGAGCAACAGATGCAAAGTATTAATTATAAAATGATGTCTCCGAAAGGGAGCATTTTCCAGATTTTGGGACGTTGCGTGTGTGTTGGTATATTACATCTGTGTGTATTTTATTCGTAAACTCGTCACACTACTAACACAACCAGGCCTCGCCCCACTGGTCATCAATTGAGTGGTAAATATTTATTACAATTAGGGGAAAATTATGACATGTTTGTTCCTGGAAGGAAACAACAGTTTACTGTTTACTGATATAGAGAATGAATCCCTTTGGAATGACTTTGTAACTTTGCAGATGATTTTTGTGTTTAACAACATTATGCATTCGGAAGGAAATTCAAAATATAGCACAATTACTTATAAAGCATTACAATGTTTTCAAATGTTTACTTCTGAAACCCTACCGTTGTGCTCCAAATCTACATTGCAAAAAATAACATTTTTCTTAAAGATTTTGTCTTCTTTCTAGTGCATTTTCTAGACAAGTATTACGCCCCAAGTCTAAGGGAAACAAAAAGGGCATAATAAACTAAGAAAAAACAAATGTGTTGGGGTGGTGGATTTCCCAAACTAAACAAAACTTAAAGCAAAAGATTCCCTTTGGTCGACAACCAAACTCACACACTCAGTTGAGAGTGTATATGAATATATTTATCATAGAAAAATGGGGTTAATATAAATGAGCAGTTCGTCAGGGTGACCACAGGCCAAAATAACAAACAAAAGAATCTATAAAATAAATCCACTAAATTACCTATTACTATTTAAAGAAAAATACAAAAAAATCTTACCTTACTCCCTAACATAAACAAAGTCAAGAGTAATCAAATAAATAGGCAGGTCACCCCTACACGCTCAAACTCTCAAAAATATTTTAACATATGATCGTCATCAATACAAGGTTGGTTGATGGTCGTCGGCCGGAGGGGTGAGGGAAACCCAGGAGCTCCACTCCAAACACCGAACGCACAGAAATGAGCTCCCCGATCCCTGCCGGAAGCTCCTTTTTATACATGCTTTTGCGACCGGCAGCCAATCAGAACAGGGAATCACGCCGGTATGGGAGCCTATAAGACAACAGAATAACAACAAGAAGGCGGGACAAAAGAAAAAGACAGAGTACAATCCGTAATAATAAACAAATAAATAAACTTCAGTCGTAACAACAAGTAAACAATATTGTCTTGTTTTCAGAAAAAAAAAATTAAATAAATAAGAAGACAATTATTCAATTTTAGTTTGGGAAGGCCATTTTTAAGACTGTGCCCCTGACGGTGATGGGGAGAAGGAAACACACACACACACACACACACATATATATATATATATATATATATATATATATATATATATATATATATATATATATATATATATATATATATATAATATATAATATATATATATATATATATATATATATAGTCTTATATAACACTTTTGCAGGGATCTTGTTTTACATACTATCTACATGTAATTTAAAATATAAACTCATGAGACATTTGGCTTTCAAGACAATTTTTTTCTAGGTTATTACAAGGCTGATTACATGCATGATTACATTACAAAAAAAAGATGGTGCTTGTAGCTCACTGAAGTCACCATCTTATGTTACTGTACCGTAGGTAGGTGTCAACCCCCATAAGTGAGGTGCTGGCTAACAGGTCAAGTGTTCTTTATTAAAATAAGCAAAAAAACAAAAACTGCCTTAAGTTAAATCAAAATAACTTTTCTAGTCGTCTCAGCTTATACCAGTTAAACTGATTAAGAATATTAGGTTCAACTTTCATTCTGTAACTAACAACAACATTTTTGAAACCTGATTAAATGATTATGGTTTGTTTAAATAATATAAAGGCATTTGCTTTCATTAAATGCCGCTCATTTTTTACTATGTGGTGTTAGCAAAATAATCTGAAAGTGATTTCATTTTTATTCTTATTAGATCCCTGATTATTATAAAATAAAAAATAATGATACTTTTTGAAAATATTTGTAAAAAATGCTGTTTGCATACACTACAAGCAGATTATTTTGCTTGTTTTATAGATAAACGCTATTAATTTGGACTTCTAAAACAAATAAAAACAGTAATGATTTTAGTGTAGTTTAATTTAATTTATTAAGCACTTTTAAAACAGCAGGGGCTGACCAAAATGCTGTTTATAAAAAGCAAAATAACAACTAATTCTGCTGTGCATCCCTGTGTGTGTAAAAAGCAATGTGTGTGCGCGTTTTTGTAACCACTAATGCGCTCTTTAAATAACAAACCAAAATTAATAAATCTGGGCAACACTGTGGCTCAGTGGTTAGCACTATCGCCTCACAGCAAAAAGGTCGCTGGTTCGAGTGCAGGCTGGGCCAGTTGACATATCTGTGTGGAGTTTTGCATGTTCTCCCTGTGTTCGCGTGGGTTTCTTCTGGATGCTCCGGTTTCCCCCACAGTTCAAAGACATGCACTACAGGTGAATTTGGTGAACTAAATTGGCAGTAGGGTGTGTGTGAATGAGTGTGTATGGGTGTTTTCCAGTACTGGGTTGCAGCTGGAAGGGCATTGGCTGTGCAAAACATATGCTGGATAAGTTGGTGGTTCATTGTACTGTGGCAGCCCCTGATTAATAAAGCGACTAAGCTGAAGGAAACTGAATGAATGGATAAATAAATCTGCGCCTCTGGCTTTAGACTAGACGATTTGATCAAAATAATAAATAATAAATAAAGGTTCAAAGTTTAAAAATAGCAATACCGTCTCATTGTATCAGGACGGAAGCTTCTGAAAATATGAACTTGTAGACATTGCAACTAGGATCAAGACAAAAACAAAGAAAATATATATCTTTTGCAGTGCAATATCTGTAAACAGAGTATTTACTAAATAACTGCTAATTTTCCAAACTCTACTACCCCTATTACTGACCTGTGTCCCCTTTGGCGCCCCCTGTATTTTGCCCAGTTTGAGCTGGTGTCCCAGTGAACCCTGCCCAGAACTGGAAGAGATTAGAAAACTCATCAGGTACTGAAAGTGTATAAACGCTTCCTGTAAACGCACCTGAAATCCCGCCCCTTTTGACTAGCACAAAGAGCTTTGCATCTACATTTGCATTACCTGTTTGTCTGAGGGCAACACCAGCCGCTTGTTTAGGCCTTCAGTGCAGAAGACGATGGCTTATAAACCTTAGAAGTGTTGCTGCTGTGCAGTTTGTTTTGTAGCTTTGCTTTTTTTCTTCTACTTGTATGATGACTAATATTGTGGTTGTCGTGTCTGGTACGAATGTCAGGTAAGAGGAAGTTTGTTTGAGTAAAATGTGAAATATTTAATGTGACTGGTTCGACAGTTAAAGTAGGTAATGTCAATTGAAGGGGTTTTAAAGTCAGTTTATATTGAAATAATCAGTATTTTCAGTTTTTAGTTTTTCATTTAGTTGTTTTTGGTTTTTTATTTATTAAGTATTTGTTTTTTGATATGTCAATGTAGTTGTGTCTTTGTACTGTTAGGTTTTTGAAGGTTTCAATATTTATTTGTTTTGTTATGTTCGATTTTTATTTATTTTTGTAAACGGCTCATTTTTTTGTGCATGTAATTAATTTCAATTCATGTTTTTCTTTTAACTAGTAAGTTATTGATTAATTAAAATAATGATAAATTAGAAGCCTAAAATTATCGTGATCTCTATATTAGTTCAAATGTTCAGTACAACGACGAAAAATATTTCAGGCAAACATAATTTAAACATAATTTACACTATTTAAAATATAATGCAATATAATTTGACATGATTGCTGTTCAAATGTTTAGTACAACGACGAAAAATATTTCAGGCAAATATAAATTAAACATAATTTACACTATTTAAAATATAATGTAATATAATTTGACATGATTGCTGTAGGTAATGTCAATTGAAGGGATTTTTAAATGTCAGGTTATATTGAAAGAATCTGTATTTTCACTTTATACAGTCATTTTTAGGTGTTATTGTTTTTAAATTATTATGTTTTTTTATTTAGACATTTTAAAATATATTGTGTTTTTGTACTGTTTGAAGGTTTTTCATTTTTCTTCATTTTTGTAAATGTGGTAGATTTAGTTATCTTTTTTTCAGGTTTAATATAATTGTGATCCTTACAGTTTGCATTTTGAAAGTTTGAAGTATTTTATTCACATTTTTAAGCACGACTATCATTTTTGTGCATGTAATTTATTTAAAAAATATGATTATTGTTCTTTTTATTTGTATTCATTTTTGTTTTTAAGCAAATTATTGATCTATTAAAATAATTACAAATTAGAAGGACAATATTACCGTGACCCTTATATTAGAGTTCACATGTTCACTTCAACTATGAAAAATATTTTAGCCTTTTTTAAACATAATTTACACTATGTAAAATATAATGCAATATAATTTGACATCATTACAGTACTTAATGTCAATTGAAAAATTAATATTGAAATGTAATTTTTTTATGTGTGTTTCTTTTTATTTTTAAGTTATTGAGTTATTTTAATAATTATAAATCAGAATAATAATATTTTTGTGATCTCTGTTCAAATGTACAAGAAAAAAAGTAATATATTATAATTTATTTATTCTATTATATGTAGATATTAATTCAGTGTTTTAAACATCCTTTAGACTAGCAAATTTGAAAAATATAATCCAAAATCTACTGTGGTAGCCTTTATTTTCACATCTTACAGTGTATGCAAAGTCTCACACATATCACTCATCTTTTAGCATATTGTACTTTTCATTGTGCTGCTTTTGAGCTTTTACTGTATATCAGCATATCTATGGTTTTTAGGATTAGACTTGGTTTCTCATAGCTAAAGCTGTTTTGTTGGTCAAATCCACAGTTTTTCTTGTTAGTCTGTAAAAATTTTGATTTACATACAGTACTGTATATAGTCCTTAAAGTACTGAAGGTGTTCAACTAAAATATGGTTTGACTCATTGTTGAAAGGATTGGCTGTTAATTATATTACAGTGATAACACCAAATATTATATTATTGTGTGGCTAAATAAGTTCTAATCTTTTGTTTTTAGTGTGGACACTTCTGTGTGTAGTGTACGTTCGCTTTGCATGTTTTGCATCAGGTCAGTCAGTAGTAAACCACACAGACAGACACACCTTTCTGAGAGAAAAGGAAAACGTTGATGGTTTATTTATTTGGATGTGAATAAAAAAAAATTGTTAGGTTCTACAGGTTGTTTTGGAAAAAATTATACTTGTTTTTAATAGAAACAATTTGTGCTTCGCAGCTTTGCTTTTATGTGTGTCACTTTGCAACTAATTTTTCAAAGCTTTCAGTTTTTTGCTTTTGTTCGATTTTTGCACTTATTAATTAACTTTTCTGGTGTATTTTTTTTGTTTTTCTGAATTTATTAAAAATATTTTTCTTTTCATTTACTTGTTTATTTTTCTTGCATATTTATTATAACATTTAGTTTTGTTTGTCTTTTTATATATATATATATATATATATATATATATATATATATATATATATATATATATTCTCAATCCTTTTCATCTCTAGTTTTTTTTTCTCATTCATTTTCTTATTTGTAATATTTTCACCATTTATTTTTGTCGTATATTATGTTTTTTATGTACAGTATATTTTTATACACTATAATTTTGCTTATTAGAAAAAATACATCTAAAAATGTGAGGATGTTTTTTATATTTATTTTTATTATTTTTGGTTATATATTTGGGTTAAATTGTCCTTTTCACGGTTTTTAAAATATTTTTTATTTGTTTTAGCATTTACAATTTGCTTTTTAATTTTAATTCATTTTAATTGCAATTTAATTCCTTTGTCATTATTGTAGATTTATAAAAAAAAATCTTTTTGCATTTTCTCTTTTATTTATTTTAATTGTCTTATTTTTTTAGTTATTTTTTTGTATTTTTTTTATTTCATTTATTCATCTATTGTTTGTGATGAATAGATGATATTTATTTAGGTTACTTACATATTTTTTTGTTTATTTTTCTATTTTCTATTTTATTTCATCTCTTCACCCATTTTTCTATTCATCCATTTTCCTACTTTATATATTTTTTAATTTATTTAGCTTATTTACGTATTTTTATATATTTTTTTTATATTTTTATATTTTATGTTTTGATTTTATTTAATTAGTTTAGTTACTTTTCTAATGTATTTATTTTTCTATTCTTTATAATTTATTGAGTTTAGTTACGTATTTTTCTTGTTTTTATTTTATTTTTTTATTTTTCTAATGTTTATTTTTCTCTTTTATTTACATCTCATTTATTTATCTATTTATTTATTCTTTTATTTTATATATTAATTTATTCTTAATTTTCATCTAATCTAATCATCTATTTTTTATTAATTTGTATTTTTATTTGATATATTAGTATATGCTTTATTTAATCTATCTATCTATTTATTTTGTTTATTTACATTTTTGTTATTTAGCTTATTTATCTTTTCTAATGTTTATTTTTCTATTTTATTTTCATCTCATCTATTTATTTATTTTTTTATTAATTTATATTTTTGTTTTATATATTAATATTTTATTTATTTTCGTCTCATCTATTCATTTGTTTATTTTGTTTTGTTTATATATTTTTATTTATTTATTTATCTTATTTATTTATTTTTTGAATGTGTTAAATTTTCTATTTCTACTTCATTTAGTTAGCTTAACTCACTCTTCTAATGTGTTTTTTGTTCTCTTTTGTTTTGTAATTTGCTAACTCCACACCACTGATCTCTGTGCGCCTCTGTATCCTGTGTGTAGTTACAGTCTAGAGGGTCTGGCAGCCGGGATCGAGGATGGCAAACGCTGGCGGTCTGGAGCTCCGTCTAAAGATCAACGGGGGGTTCAGCGTCAGGACAGCGAAGACAGAGGCTCACTCATGTCCCTCACCGAAGAAGGTCCCGAATCCGATTTAGGAGAATGCAGAAGTCCAGGCATTCAGGTGAGACAAGAGTTTGAGTTACCTTTACAAAGCATGACATTTGACTTCAAATAGCAGAACTATCTGGAAGGGGAAATTGAAGCTCAATGATCGTACTTCTGTATTTTTTATATTATTATTTAAATAAAAAGTCCTCTAGCTGCTTTTTCATAGAATATTTGTTCTCTATTTTCATGACAGCACACTAGGTAGGAAGCCTCGTTTAAGCCATTTTTTCTCAACCACGTTTCTGGAAAAACACTGGTCTAAGGCAGGGGTCTTCAAACTTTTCAGCAAGTCACCCCCAAAATGACAATGCCAGTGACTCACGACCCCCAATATCCTCTGAGGGGGGTCATAAATACAGTGGTTAGAAATGCAATGGCACACACACACACACACACACACACACACACACACACACACACACACACACACACACACCAATAGTCCCAAGTCTATTCTTCATTTCATTTTTAATCTATGTCAGTGCTGTAAATGGGCCAGAAAATTTAACCTGATGTTATAAAATCAATCTGCATCTGACGCTATTGCTGTGTCTTTAATATAATGTAAGTACCCCAGGGGTTTGCAATTCAGTTAAACTAGTAACTATAAGCTACTATAGTAACTATATAGTAACCATATAGTAACTATAAACAACTATTTTTTTCTCTTCAGTAGTTTATGGATAAAATATGGTAATCCTTATGGTTTGATAAAAATAAATCGATTTTTGGAAATCACCAGGCAACCCGTCTTCATTATCCCGTGACCCCTTGGGGGGTCCCGACCCCCACTTTGAGAACCACTGGTTTAAGGCAAGACTCTGCAGTTCAACTGAGTAAATAAATAAATAAATAAATAAATAGCTGGGTAATTACTATCACTATACTTCCCCAGTTGATTGGTTGCATTAATAATTTTTTTGCAAGAATATATATATATATATATATATATATATATATATATATATATATATATATATATATATATATTATTCTATTTAAATATTTAAATCAGGCATCTCTTTTACTGTATAGTCCAAAAATCTGAAAATTGAATAGTCATTTTTTGTTTTGTTTTTACATTGAAGTCAAAGTTTTTTTTTACTGAGGAGATTTTGGAAATCTTTTTTATAATTTCATAATTCCAAAACAAAACTGCAAAGAATAATACAAAATATTTTTGTGCACTGAAATACATATAATCGGTCAAAACTAAGTAAAAAAAAACTACTTACATTCTTTGCTCTTTGTTATATTGCAGCCATTTGCTAAAAATCCTTTTGATCTAATACAGTCATGAGTCTTTTTGGGAAAGATGCAACAAGTTTTTTTCACTCCTGTATTTGGGGATCCTCTGCCATTCCTCCTTGCAGATCCTCTCCAGTTTTGTCAGGTTGGATGGTGACCATTGGTGGACAGCCATTTTTAGATCTCACCAGAGATGCTCAATTGAGTTTAAGTCAGGGCTCTAGCTGGGCCATTTAGTCATGGAGTTGTTGTGAAGCCATTCCTTCGTTATTTTTTCTGTGTACTTAGGTACATTGTCTTGCTGGAAGGCAAACATTTGGCTTAGTCTGAGGTCCTGAGGTCCCTGAAGAAGGTTTTTGTCCAGAATATCTCTGTTCTTGGCCGCATTCCTCTTTCCTTCGATTACAACCAGTCAGCCTGATGCTTCAACTGAAAAACACCCCAACAGCATGATGCTGCCACCTCCATGCTTCACTGTTGGAACTGTATTGGACAGGTGATGAGCAGTGCCTGGTTTTCTCCACACACTGCTTATTATTAAGGCAAAAACGTTCAATCTTGTTCTCATCAGAGCAGAGAATCTTATTTCTCACCATCTTGAAGTCTTTCAGTTGTTTTTTTAAGCAAACTCCATGCAGGTCGGGTCACTCTGCCATAAAGCCATGACTAGTGGAGGGCTGCAGTGATGGTTGACTTTCTACAACTTTCTCCCATCTTCCGACTGCATCTCTGGAGCTCAGCTACAGTGATCTTTAGCTTCATCTTTATCACTGTCACCAAGGCTCTTCAAACTTAATAGCCCAGTTTGCTGACTTTGCTCGGTTTGCTCTAGGAAGGGTTCTGGTCGTCCCAAACGTCTTCCATTAAAGGTTTATGGAGGGCACTGTGCTTTTAGGTGCTGCAGAATTTTTTTTTATAATTATTGCTAGATCTGTGCCCTGCTACACTTCTGTCAGTTCCTTTGGCCTCGTGATACTCATTTGCTCTGACATGCCTTGTGAGCTGTAAGATACATGTGTGTGGCTTTCCTAATCAAGTCCAATCAGTATAATCAAACTCAGCTGAAGGCGTGAAAGCATCTCAAGGATGATCAGAAGAAATGGACAGCACCTGAGTTAAATATATGAGTGTCACAGCAAAGGGTCTCATTTTTAAAATGTATTATTTTGATTGCAGAAATCCAGGAAATATCATCAGTTCCGAAACAGCAGTTCATCCGTGACGCTTCCTCTCACAAAATCAGTCTCCATGCTGTCCATCAGTCAACGGGACTTAGATGGTAAGTAGCATTTCTGTCTCCCATAGATGAATTACATTATGGATTTATTGCTCTGTTGATTTAAAAAAAAAAAAAAAAAAAAAAAAAAAAAAAAACATGCTATATGAAAAACTGATTTTATAATTACTTTATACTGATTCATGGTTTTGGAATTGATGGACTCAATATTAATTCATTTTAGCATTCTAATAAGCAGCAACAAAGGTGTTGCATCATTACATACCTTATTATGAGGATGTTATGATAAAATGAACTCAGATAAACTACGTTGTCATGGTCATGTGTTTATTAATCCTGTTAATTCACACAAAAGCAGTTTAATCTTCTGTTTATCCTACAAACGCTATAGTGATTTCCCATGGACCCTTTTTCACAAGTCTCTTCAAGCATATCTAAATCCATATGTTTTTAATATTTAGATTTTAAAAATAAGTTATTTATGTTTATTCATGAATGTATTATATCACCTTTGCAAATAATTAAAAAAACAAAGCAAATTACTGCTTATGACACAGTTCCTAATGCAGTGTCTATGGACAGCAAAGTAATTTTGGCTTTGTTTTCTTTTCTGGCTACAATTTCAGTCTCACACAGTTTTGTTTTCTTTTATGATTTCAGCAAATAAGATTGTAGAAAATATTTGTTGTATTCTTCCACTCACTGTTCTCTAAGTTTACCCAACTTTGATGACTTCCGCTACTGAGAAACCTGGAAATGTGAAAAGGGTCTATTAAATGGTATTTCTTAGGTTTCTACAGGGCATATTTGGTTGTTACTTGCAACTTGCGAAAGAGAGAGAGAGAGAGAGAGAGAGAAAGAGAGCCCTCTAGCCTTATGGAGGAGATTTACTACTGATCAGATCACTTTAACTTTGTCACATGTGCAAGATAATTGCAGATTTTGGTAAATGGAAAATGTGAATTTTATGTTGATTTGCCATTCAGCCCTAGCAAATTGTCAATTTGGAGGCAATTTCAGATCTTGTTGCCTTTGAATCAAAGAATCAGCCCTAAATTTGTCTTAAACTTAACTCCCCTCTCACTGGCTGTTTCTCAGTTCCAAGAATGCAGAGAACGAACTTGCTTTCTTGTAAAGACCGGTCTTGCCAAGTTACCTCGGATGAACAAATTTGGCAGACCGCAAGAACAGAGAACGTGTCCTGTGAGAAATGAGATGCTGCGTTCTTCCTGATGGTCACATGAACTTCACACTTTTTTAACGGGATATTAATTAAACATTACAGCATTCATGCAATGAATTATTTTTTCCTCTTTTCACAATAGATACTATGCATAAAGACCTTACAGATATATGTTTCACAATACAAATTAAACAGATTTTAATATGAACTTCAGCAAATAAACACCCTTAATGTGCTTATGCCTTTTCATATTAATGTTTGCTTTCAACGTTTCATTTAGGGAAACTCCTGAGACAAGCTAATTTTCTGAACTTTAATAATAAATATATTAAATGCTGCGCTTCCTACCTCCTTTATTCGGCCGCAATGACTTCTGGGACTTCTCGAGTGAGTTTTGAAGTCTGCATCAATGCGTCCTAGATATCAAGAACACGTCCAGGAACCTTCACGTGTCTGCTATTCTTGCAGTCTTGAGTATTGGAACTGAACTTTGGCAGTTGATGATGAGGTTACACGAGGACGCAAGAATGCTGAAGAACACATATTGAGAAACAGCCAGAGTTTGTTTACATGTACGGTACAGTTGAAGTCAGAATTATTAGTCCTCCTAAATTACTAGCCCCCCTGTTTATTTTTTCCCTAATTTCTGTTTAACAAATAAATGTTTTTTTTCAACACATTTCTAAACATAATAGTTTTAATAACTCATTTCTAATAACTGATCTAGACTTTGCCATCATGACAGTAAATATTATTTTACTACATATTTTTAAGACACTTCTATTCAGCTTAAAGTGACATTCAAAGGCTTAACTAGGTTAATTAAGCAAGTTAGAGTAATTGCGCAAGTCATATAATGATGGTTTCTTCTGTGGACAAAGCTAAAGGGCTGTACTCATATTGACCTTTAAATGGTTTTAAAAAATAAAAACTGCTTTTATTGTATTTTTATTTATTCTTTTTTCTAGCCGAAATAAAACAAATAGGACTTTCTCCATAAGAAAAAATATTATTTGAAATACTGTCAAAAAATCAACCCGGGCTCATTGTGGAAACGTAGTCCCGCGGAGTTTCTGGAGACCGTGGAATACGTTCCGGTGGGTACGTACGGTTGCAGTTTTTGTTTTCGTGAATCCGCGAGTGGCCGCTGTTGTGCGCTTTTTCGCACCTCAGACGCCTCTCGCGAGTGTGGTCACGGCCGCGCTGTTCTCGCATGAACCCACCGAAGGCCGCTGTCCGACTGACTGGATGATTGACTGCGCGACCGGCCAATCGGCCGACCCGCCCTCCTCCTTCCCAGAACCCAACTAATTTTACCGACCGCCCGCTTGCAACAGTTTACAAAAAGCCGTCCAAAAAATAAAAACCCCGATTTTTTTTTTTTTTTTTTTTAAACCGCGTTTTCAGATTTCACCGTGTTCTCACCCTTTCCCGAAACTCGTTCACTTAATTTTTGGGATTCTGTTTTTATCTTACTTGATTGCTGGAACTGCTCTTCCCTGGACTCGAAACCGATCGCCGTGGTCAACTCCTCTCTGCATCTCGAGCCTGCCGACATACACGGTGAGCTGAGTTGACAAACGGGTTGCAGCGGGGAAGCCCTCCACAAGGAGGTAAAGCAAGCGCGAAAGGGAACAGCATCACACCGCCCCGCAGCGTTTGCTTGAAAAAAATAAACACGGCCTTACGTACCCCCTGGGATGTATTCCGCTGTCTCCAGAAATATCTGTGGGACTACGTTTTCAGAATGAGCTTGGGTTGCAAAAAAACCTTGCTCCATTAAGCATCACTTGCGAAATATTTGCAAAAGAAGAAAAAAATTCACATTAGGGCTAATAATTCGGACTTTGGCTATAGGTGATGCAGTATTGCATCATTTGTTTTCTTAGTCTGGTTTGTATTTGTTGTCCTCCACCTGTTTCTTAGACCCCTAAATATTTTGCTTTAATAAGCACTTGCTCTGATTTTTCCGTCCCCAATGCGTCCGTCTAGCAATAGGAAGGATTCGGAGAAAGAGACGGATCTCTTTTACCTTCAACCTCTCACCGATTCTCCCCAAATCTAAAAGTGTCATTACTGTCAGCTCTTCATCTAGTGATGAGGAGGACATTATAAGTAAGTTGAATAGTAGATGAATAGTAGCATGTTGTCCCTAGATGATACTGTAAATGACAGTAGAAGTAGAGATGATCTGAAATATGCTAGCCGCTTTTGTTATGCTAGCTTTTGTTAGCGCTATTACTCCAGTTTTTTAATCATTTTAAATCACCATGCTATTGTTAATTTAGGAGTCAAACTCATGCTACTTGTGGACAAAACAGACACTTTTATATTATGAATGTATTTTATTTCATTTCAATAATTTTTTATCTATACTATGTGGTGTTTTGATGAGATTTTGTCGCTAAACAATATTCACATCAACATTATGGATCATTTACTTCTATTTAATCATTTAAATGGAATGAGAAAGATTAAAATACATTGAACAGGCAAAGATGAGTAACAACTTATTAAATAAATAATATATAAAGCAATATGAAATACACTTAAGCAAGTATTTAGGTAGAGAGATTTATGTATTTTTTGATTGTATATAACATTTCCATGCATTTTTCTTACATTATTGTAACCCAGGGGTGTCCAAACTTGGTCCTGGAGGGCCAGTGTCCTGCAGATTTTAGCTCCAACTTGCCTCAACACACCTGCAATGATGTTTCTAGAAAGCCTAGTAAGAGCTTGATTAGCTCGCCTAGGTGTGCCTGATTGGGGTTGGAACTAAACTTTGCAGGACACCGGCCCTCCAGGACCAAGTTTGGGCATGCCTGTTTTAAATTAAATGAACTAATAAACTTTGTTGTTGATATTTGTTAGATAAACATATAGGAAACAAATAAGAACAAGATTTATGTAATAATATCAAGTTCATCACATCTATTTTTAAATTACATTCATACATTCTCAAAGCCAGATTGCAGTAGAATCATGTAAACTGACTTTTGCAGCATGGGACGTGTTTCATTAATTGTTATTCGTATTATGAAGTGTTTCGATCCTTTATTCATGTTTTTAAAAGCATGATAGAGATTTTGTGCTGTCTATGAATGCGCTATGGATGGATGTCCCCACCAATGTCAAGAGCAAATCTACACCCTTGGCTCTGGGAGTCATATTACTTTAGATGAGTAGTAGTCGTTGAGTCAAACGCACAATCTGTTTGCAGACGGTTTTGCATGTGTACGTAAATCAGGCTCTGTCATGAGTGTTTGTTGTCGGTGATGTGCATTTGACTCAATCGTTGTACTTACAGGCATGACGTCATTCAGCACTGCCGGTAATATGGGATACAGGTAACATCGATATTTTATTTCATTGTGACATTTCTGAAAATGATTTCATATTTGTTACAATAACTCATTTCTTTCAATCCTTAAAAAAGCATTACAGAGGAGGAACCGGGACCTTTAAGAGGAGATTTTGAGAAAAGTTCTACCAAAGTGAGCCGGACGTTCAGCTACCTGAAGAACAAAATGTACAAGAAAGCACGAGTAAGTCAACATCAATATTTTTTTTTTACTGTTTTATTAGTCATTTCCTCTCCAGCATGAGTGATTAGATAATCTGATTCATTCATACTGATGACTGAGTGTGAATTATCACTTCGTCAGTCGAATGCAAGACAGGAATTTATCGAATATTGACCGAATGTTGAAATAAATTGTGCTAGGGGTTAAAACAGGGTCTTCTGGTCATCAGAGGAAAAAAGACTGGGGAAGGAGGCACAATGATGTTTCATCATTTGCTGTTAGATCAGCATTTTACCCATTTAAAAGAACAGTGCTTTATTTACATACAGCAAAGATGTAACAAGGTTCTAATAGTTTTAGGTTTTTCAATAGTTTTAGTTTTTATTTAGTTTTGACTTTTTGTTTTTAAATCCAGTTAGTTTTAATTTATTTTTAGAGGCAGATTTACTAGTTTTTATTCGTTTTTATATTTTGAAACTGCTTAGTTTAAGTTTAGTTTATATTAGTTTCGATATTATTTTTAGGTTTTTTTTTCTAAATAAGGATATTTTCTAGGTGCAAGATCCAGAATCATTAGAATAAATATTATATAACTAAAACTAAAGATACTTTTTTTTTGTATCTTTTTTGTATCTTTTTTGGATGTATTCAGAGGACACATAACCACTATCATCTACCACTACCCATCTTCAAATTCAAATACGACCGCTCACAAGATAGCTGCTCTTAGTACAATATGTGTGCAAGGCTGCTTCTGAGGTTAGATACACTGTAGTGATGGAAAGTTCAGATCTTTAACACAAACCGTATCTTTTGTGACAATCCTCCCATGTTAAGACTGAACATACCAAACATTTGTGGTCAACAATCATAATTTCCGTCTGTTAAAACATCACCATGATCTAAAAAGTTCCTTATAATTACGTTTTGCAACCCAACTGTATCATGATTCACTTAACTCTATTACAATTCTGTTATGAAATAAATGTATGTTTTTTTTTGCCAGATCCTTTCAGCCCATGCTACAGTTTATTCAAGTTTAGTTCAGTCACAGCAGGCTGTCATGTACTGTTTGTGTGTGTTTCACTGAATCATGCATGTGCAGCATTACCGGTTCACCACTTTTCAAATCTGATCGCAGTGTACTGTTCTAATAACTAAAAACCTCATTATATATTGGTTTATTTCAAGTCAGAGAGAGAATTAGGCCTGTTAAAAAGTCAGTAGTTTGTGGATAAGAGTGCTTACTGGAGACGTGAAAAGTTTTTTAACCGGTTCACTTAGAAGATACAGTTAAAAAGAACAATTCGCTATCACAATCACTAATACGAAAATAAAACCCATTATTCGGCACGCCTAACATTGCCGATGGTGTCCGTATCCCTCAAAGTTGTTTAGAAATAAAAGTTTAGAATTAGTGTGACCAAAGTGCCTTTAAGAAGTCTATAGTCTTTGGTGTGACACAACGTGTACCCGTGTGTCTTCCTTTGATGTACCATTGATGCTTCTTACGTCCTTGTCGCAGCACCAGTGTCAGCCAAAAGTTTTAGATTTCAGTTGTGATTAAGCCCCCAAAAGCAACTGAAGCCTCATTTAGAGCTACACATTCCATTTTTAAGAAAAACATCGCATTTTCAGATTGGAAGGCAAAACTGTGCTTAAAGACAAGAACGGATTTAATCTCAACTCTCTCCAATGTCAAAATTGGGACAACTACAATGGTTAGAAGAGTGTAGGCTATGTTAAAAATGCTATAGATTTTGTGATAATTTCAGCAAAATCTGAAAATTTATGTTAAACAATGGATAATCTGTACAAACATGGAACAACGTAGAGCATGATTTGTTAAAAATTGTTAGTGGCTAGTGAAAATATTGTAGAAGTGATCATTTGAAAATGTAAATACTTGCAGAGATTTATAGAAATTAAGTGCTGCATATTGATATTTCTCAGTTTCCTACTTACAAATCATTGTTGACAACTATTGTGAGAAATCATTAACATGATCAGTGTCTTCACATAGATGAATATCATAAATTATTAACAATAACATATAATCAAAAGCAAATTGAGCAAAAAAAAAAAAAAATCACCACTAATTTGAGGTGTTTCAGATTCAGCTTCTATGGGACAGGACAGTAGATTTGATGCTGCTCTTTCTTCTGGCTGCTGCTATCATTATCACACTATTTTTTCCTTTTTCTGAAAGTCTTTATAACATTATAGTGGAGTTTTTCTTTTATTATTTCAGAAAATAGGATTGTAAAAATGTATTTGTTATACTCTCCTATTCACTGTTTTCCCAACTAGTATGACTTTTGCTACAGAAAAACCAAGAAATATGAAAAGGGTTTATGAACTACATAGCTCAGAAAGTATACTGTAGTTTAAAATGCTATTAAAAATTGCAAAGTGTAGCACTTACTTGGATCACAGAAAATTGGAACAGATCATTTAATCCAAGTTTCTTTGCAAATCATGTTACGATTATAGGTGTTATTATCCTAATATGTGCCTATCAGTTAATATCAGTGGGCAGGGGAAACAAGCACTGCTCTATCACATTGTCCTAGGAGAGAATCCCGACTTCCCTCTCCCCAGACACTTCCTCCAGCTCCTCCAGGAGGATCCCGAGGCGTTCCCAGGCCAGCCGAGAGACATAGTCCCTCCAGCATGTCCTGGGTCTACCCCGAGGCCTCCTCCCGGTGGGACATACCTGGAACACCTCTCTAGGTAGGCGTCCAGGAGGCATCTGAAACAGATGCCCGAGCCACCTCAGCTGACTTCTCTTGATGTGGAGGAGCAGCAGCTCTACTCCAAGCTCCTCCTGAGTGTCAGAGCTCCTCACCCTATTTATAAGAGTGCGCCCTACCACCCTTCAAAAGAAACTCATTTCGGCCGATTGTATTCAAGATCTCATCTGTTCGGTCATGACCCAAAGCTTATGTAAATAAGCCTTTTGGCTCAGCTCCTTCTTTAACACAATGGACCTGTACATTGACCGCATTACTGCTGCCGCTGCACCAGTCCCCCTGTCAATCTCACGTTCCATCCTTCCCTCACTCGTGAACAAACCCCGAGATACTTGAACTCCTCCACCTGGGGTAAGGACTTTCCTCCAACCTGGAGATGGCAAATCACCTTTTTCCGGTGGAGCATCATGGCCTCGGACTTGGATTTGAATGTTCTCCAAACATCTTCCAACCTATGATTTTGCATGATAGGTGCCCTTTAAAAGCTAAAAGTTTACTCTGAAAGTCTTGCAATTGTTCTGATTAACCAAAACAAAAAGACTTGCATATCTCTCAACGTGTTCAGATTTCGTCAGCACTTTGCTGTTCTGAAACCAGCATCAAGAGTGTGATAAAAAGAGGAAGCGAGAGTCACAGCACCTCCCAGCTCAAGCTGGATCACTTCCTCCCCAGTCTAAGTTGATGCTAAATGTCTTGTGTTGTTGAGAGTCTTGCCAAGGCCATCTGCCTCCTACAGTAATGCTGTATCGAAAGTTTTGCGAGGTACAGGGCCGCTATCAGAAGGTGAAAACCTTGAAGGTAGAAGAGGTAAGCTGAAACTCAGCCACTTCCTCTGGTGTCTGTTGACCTTCTTTTTTTTCTCTCTTGTCACTTCTTGATATTTACAGTTTCAGATATGGTTAACTCCTTAGTTGCCTAACAATGGAAACATTGCTCATTGTGCTTTATGGTCACAGTGATTGTCTTTTAAACGCATTTCTAATAGTATTCTACAGTATTCAAGTAGGGGTTTTATTGCAAAAAGCAATTCTATTGAAGTGGCTTACTGTAACTTTAGTCCTATTTTTACAAGTAGGAAGCTGAAATTTGTTACTGGAGAACTTAACAACAATTGAGAGGATGTTTGCGTGCAACACTGTGAAAATGAAAATGTGGTCCATATGAAATCGGCATTGCATTTCTTTTTTGCTGCATGGAATCATTAACACTTCTTGTATTGTTGTCAGTTTTATTTTGCATACTCATTAACTACAAATCCAATGGTGCATAAGTTTGCCCTGTATATCATAGGAACTTGCATTTTCTCTTATGAAATATTAATCTGTTTCGCAGAAATGCAATTACAGTAAATGATGTTCAGTTTAGGTTAATAATAATTAATAATAATAATTTCTTACATTTATATCGCGCATTTCTGGACACTCAAAGCGCTTTACACATTGGGGGAATCTTTTCATCCACCACCATTGTGTAGCATCCACCTGGATGACACAACGGCAGCCATATTGCGCCAGGCTGCACACCACACACCAGCTGATTGGTGGAGAGGAGACCGTGATAATGCCACTTATGATATAGGGATGGTTAGGTGGACATGATGGAAAAATGCCAGTGGGCAAATTTGGCCAGAATGCTGGGGTTAAACCCCTGCTCTTTTTCGAAGGACTTCCTGGGATTTTTTATGACCACAGATTGTCAGAACCTCGGTGTAACAATCTCACTGGTGTAACATCTTTTTTGAAGGACATCCAGGGATTTTTCATGACCACAGAGAGTCAGGACCTTGGTGTAAGGTCTCATCCGAAAGACGATGCTCACTGAGCAGTATAGAGTCCCCTTCACTATACTGGAGCATTAGGACCCACACAGATTTCAGGTTGAGCGCCCCTTGCTGGCCTCACTAACATGACTTCCTGCAGCAACCTAGTTTTCCCATGTGGTCTCCCATCCAGGTACTGACCAGGCGCAACCCTACTTGGTTTCAGTGGGCGACCATGTGAAAGTTGCAGAGAGCTAGCTGCTGGTTAATAGGTTTCAACTGATGGCAATGAACTGTTCTCTGCGTATTAAGACCCAATCCCAAGTCTGCACCTTTCCCTTACCCCTAGCCCTCGTTTTGCGCATTCACCTGAAGGGGTAGGGCTGTCCCAATTCTCTTTAGCCTGAAGGCATAGGGCTATGGGGAAGGGCTAGATGTGCGAGTTCACATAGATTAATATAGCCATAGTGTAAATGCACAGTACAGTTATGATCTTATTGCCACATTATACCATTATGATAACATAATATCGATGCCTTCAGTAATTTCCTGAAGATAAATGTGTTGAATTAGCTGAAAGTGAATTAAAGATTAATTTGAAGGGGACTTCAAAAGAGCCGACTCTTTAAATCCGAACAAACAAAACTTCCAGTAGACTTCAACTACGGCTATTGCTATCAAAAATAAAACCCCAGTTATGTTTAAGCAGGGTAACAAGATTGAAGTTTAAGACATTAGATTTAGAAGTATGCACAGGCACCTCCTTTATACAAAATTAAACTTTATTGAATAATCTAACAGAAACTAACACAAACACACATTCATAAAGGTTGTAGAGGAGGGTAAAGAAGGAAAAATAAGACTTTGAGAGAGTGTATTGATGTAAAACGTCAAATTTTGTAAAACCAAACCAAGCGAACCAAAAATAATCAATTTAACCCTTTGATTGTTTCTTTAGGGTTACATTTAATTTACAGCAGTTCAGTGGTAATCTGGAGGCGTTACTTTCATTCCTTGTGTGATGTGAAGGACTCTTTCTGTTAAACTAATGTTCCTACGTGGTTAGTTGGTGGCCGGCTGTTTGTCCTGTGGGGTTGAGTCTGTCATTTCAAGTTTGTTAGGCAGCAAGTCGAGTGTTGACTACTGCGGCGTATTAAACTTAACTAGACTAACTCTTGATGGAAAAGAAAGAAAGGTATCAGAGATGGAAAGTTTGAGTCTGTTTTCTCGACCTAAAGAGAAGCTGTCCTGAGCTGGAATGGAACAACTCTTTCTCTTTGGGACTGTGTCGGTTCTCCTTCTTCTGGAGTTCTCCAGTGTTCTCCGGGGGCCGGCCTTAGGGTGCTTACACACCTACACTTTTGTTTCGGAACGTGTCTCGATTGCCCAGTTAGCGCGGTTCGTTTGGCATATGTGAACAGGGCAATCGCGCTCTGTTCCGCGCCAAAGTAATCGCTCCGAGATCGCTTGAATGAGGTGGTCTCGGCTCGATTCAAACGAACCCTGGAGCGGATCGATTGCAGTGAGAAAGCGATCCGATCCGAGCGCGGTTATATCACAGTGTTTTATGGATATGTAATAGGCTTACGGCTATATGAAGAGAGAATTATGAGTAGGGCGGGAAGTTTCGCGAGTCTCCGGATGCCCGCAAATGAGTGATGATCTCCCGATAATCTCGCGTCTCCCTCCCAGTCCTCAAATAGGCATCGTCGCGCACCCTTCTCACCCCTCCCCACCGCATCTCTCCTTAGACACGTCACGCGCGCGCACCCTGTCAATCACCACCAAACCACCACCTCTCCTGACAGCTTAGCTGGACAAAATAAACCCTGACACTCTGACCAATGTGAAGAGAGTTTACTCGCACGTGACTTGTTTTAGCTCTTTTGGTCCGATTAGAAACTTTGCAGTGTGAAAGCGAACCGCTCCAAGGACAAAGAGCAACAATGTAACAATTGTAATCTCTGTTTCGGAACAACTGAATCGATTCACAGGTGTGAAAGCACCCTAAGTCACCAGCTTTTATAAGGGTGGTCTTCTAACACCCTCAGGAGCTGAGTTGACCAATAAGAAAGTTTTTTCCCATAGGAAGTTTTATGGGACTTTGTTGGGAAGCTTGCTGATTTGCATATGCATTCTGGATGACTGCTGTTGAAGATTGTATGTTAAAATGTTAATATGTTGCACACATATTAACATAAAAAGCAAACGAACGTTCAGTACACTAGATTAACTTCCCAGGGACATCAAACATGAAGTAGCTACAGTCTTGTTAGCTGTGTTAGAGTTTAACATTGATTGCAGGAGGATTTAAACAATAATATTAATATGCGAGCAAGAGACTTGTTGCAAAAACATCTGATTACACTCACAGAGGGAATAAAGGTTTAGATTAAAAGCATAAGTCTTAAGCAAGAAGCGTGTAGGAGCTTGAGCATGTTTCTGTCCATTTCCAAGCGGATTCTTTTCTTGCCGTAAATATCTTGGAATCGGATTACAGACAGACCATCCAGTCTTTTCTAGGAAGTAGAGGCTGATGGTGTTTTATTTGTTGAATAAAGCAAAATAATTATGTATCTGATTGGCCACATCTGCAACATAAATACCAAAAAAATAACACAACTAGAATAACTACAGCAGTCACCATCGTTAATCTTATATGAAGTAAGAGACTGTGATGACGTGTGTGGGTGTTGTTGTGCTGTCCCATTTCTTAGGGGTAAATTTTGAAGCCCTTCACACTCTGTTTCAAGGGCCAAGCGGTAGGGGTACAAAAATAGAATTAGGATTGGGCCTAAGTGTTGACCAGTGTCAGCTATTGTAATATGTCTTATTACTTTTTTGACACAGGAAAAAGAAAAGGAAAAGAATCGCGAAAAAGACAGAGAGGCCAAAGAGAGAGAGAAGAAATCAGTGAATGGGCACCTGTTTACCGCAGTAAACTCTCTGCATCCGGCTTTGTGTCAGCAGTGCAATAAAACGCTCAACACTAAAGATGCTGTCCACTGCACAAGTAAGCATCTTAAAATCTTAAGTTTTTATACTAGATACTAGATTTCTAGATTTCATGTTGACCTAATGGGTGCTTACTGAACCTCGAATGATGTGGGACAAATATAATGTTTAAATGAAGTGGATCTTTGATGTTATGTATGACTAAAGAGGAGAAAAACACTTTTGAAAGGGGGTTTAAAGATGTCAGAACTGTTGTGTCACGCATTTCAAAAGAGTCATTGCTCAAAAAATAGGAAGCTGTTCTGGTAGCATCATTCACTTCCTCATGGAGCTGCTTAAAACACAAACTGATTCATCCGGGGAGAAGTTTTGTCTGCATTGTTTTGTTCTTATTCCCCTCTCTATTTGTTTTAAATTTCTCTTTTCTCATATCGCATGTATAAAAGCCCTCTAAATAAAATCTATCATTTTATCTTTATGCATGTCTGTATATCTATCTATCTGTACAGTATATAATTTTGTCTGTATGTCTATCTGTAGACAGTCTTTCTGTCTTGCTCAGTTGTTCTATCTATCTATCTATCTATCTATCTATCTATCTATCTATCTATCTATCTATCTATCTATCTATCTATCTATCTATCTATCTATCTGTCTGTCTGTCTGTCTGTCTGTCTGTCTGTCTGTCTGTCTGTCTGTCTGTCTGTCTGTCTGTCTGTCTGTCTGTCTGTCTGTCTGTCTGTCTGTCTGTCTGTCTGTCTGTCTGTCTGTCTATCTGTCTATCCGTCCATCCATCCATCCATCCATCCATCCATCCATCCATCCATCCATCCATATATTCTGTCTGTCTGTCTGTCTGTCTGTCTGTCTGTCTGTCTTTCTGTCTGTGTGTCTATCTATTGACCTAGCTTTCTATCATTCTATCTATTTTTCTAGCTATTTACTATAACGTTCTATCCAGCATTGTATCGTTCTATCTGTTTGTCTATCTGTCTGTTTGTCTATATCATTTTGTCTGTCTGTCTATCTATCTAGTGTTCCATCTAACATTCTGTCTAGCATTCTAGCACTCCATCCATGGATCTATCTATAATTCTAGCTATCTATATAGAATTCTATCTATTCCATTGTCCTATCTGTCTATCTATCTGGCTGACGCCCATCCATTAAACAAATACTTTTTTTTATTTGAGGTTTGAAAGTGTTTGTGAGTATAGTATTTTCTCCAGGAACCATATGATGATGTGGTTTTTCTTCCTTAAGTCTTGCTCTTTAAGACAAATCTGTATTTCCAGAGCTCGTTGGCATGTTCCCGGGATTTAATTTGTGTGCTTGGTGGAGTTTCCTGACTGGAAAACTTCCTAACCCTAAACCCAACTCTCTTTACCACTTTGACCATGAGCCAGAATAGCAAACACAATGACTTCCATTAAAAGTAAATCAAACCATTGCGTTTGGTCATACTCAACAAAAAAAAAGTATATCTTTGCACTCAGAAGACAATGTGCATATGCTTTGGTAGCAAAATGAATATGATTGATATGATATGAATGATTAATAATGTAATATTTATGTTGCGTATTGCAGAAAAAGCATTTCTAATGTATTTTACTTGCATACTTTTCTACAGATTGCAATATCAGAGTTCATAAGAGTTGTAGAGAAAACATCCCTATTTGTCTTAAAAGCAGAATGAAGGTTTGCTGATTTTTTTTTTCTTCTAAAATGTCATATTATGTCATTTGCACATCCAGAATTGTATTTGAATTGTATTCTCTTTCTTTGTTTCATAAATAGCAGTTTGCAATACCAGAGTCCACCACCATGCCTGTCGTCACTCTACGAACAAAATGTATGTTTGTTTATAAACAGTTAGCTTTATTTCTCTTTTCATACTCATACTGTTGACATCAGCCAATCTGAATATTACTTATATAATTTTTTTGTAGCGTCCACGCTTCGGGAGAGACCATGGTCTGCTATCTTTTCCCCAGAGGAACATTCTGTGATCATTCCATCCAGGCGACCCACTAGTATTATGCCCTTCCACAGCAGCAACCTCTCCAAAAGCATGTCCATCAACAATATTGCAATGTTAGTACCTACTCAGTTACACTGTGCAGGCTAATAGAGCTGAACAATATTGATACCGCAATGTGTGTATCTGCTATTGTCACATTGCAGGATTAGATTGTTTATTAAAGATTGAAATATGTATTTTTATATATATTTTGTTTCTATCTATATAATGTTGCTCATGCTATTTTACATGTAATTGTTTAATTCCTTTATTTGAATACTGTTAGATTCCCCAGTAAACCATAAAGCACTATTTATTTATTTATGTTAATTTATTATAATTTATGCAGATCCATTGCATAGAAAAGGACTATTTAATCTAGGTTAATGAAAATTTCCAAATAGAGCTATTCAAATCTTAATATACAAAAAATATATACACACACACTACCTGATAAAAGTCTTGTCGTCAAGCCCAGTTGTAAGACCTTGAACTTCTAGACTTGACTTGATCATTTGGAAAAGTGGCAGAAGGTAACTTTTTCCAATTAATCATCTGTTAAACTTCTTCTAAATCATCACAAGTACTGCAAAGGATCTATTGGAACCCAAATTCTCACAGAAATCATCAAGTTTGGTGAAAAAAAAAATCATGGTTTGGGGTTGCATTCAGTATGGGAGCGTGTGAGAGATCTGCAGAGTGGACGGCAACATCAACAGCCTGAGGTATCAAGACATTTGTGCTGCTTAATACATTACAAACCAAAGGAGAGGGCAAATTCTTCAGCAGGATAGCGCTCCTTCTCATACTTCAGCCTCCACATCAAAGTTCCTGAAAGCAAAGACGGTCAAGGTGCTCCAATTGGCCAGCCCAGTCACCAGAAATGAACATTATTGAGCATGTCTGGGGTAAAAGGGAGGAGGAGGCATTGAAGATGAAGTCAAAGAATCTTGATGAACTCTGGGAGTCCTGCAAGAACGCTTTCTTTGACACAGTCCTCCAAGCTCATGGGAGTCATACGCAATATTCATTATTTTTCCACTGCGACTTTATATTCTATGTACATTATTTCTGTTAAGTGACAAGACTTTTGTCTAGGCATATTCTTGAAGCCTTTGCCTTTCATATAACCCACTTCTGATACCAAATGATCAACTAGAAGTCAAGTTATTGTTTCCTGATCCTAAAAATTGGATAGGCAACAAGATTTTTGTAAGGTAGTGTGTGTGTATATAAATATATATATTGCAGTAAAACAAAATATTTCATTGTGAAATTGTCTAATATCATGCAGCTCTACATAATAAATAGGAACAAATAGGAATCCTTTAGTAGCATTGCATTTTCAAAATACAAATTAAAATGCTAACTCTTTAGCTGCTGACTCCTAAAGTGAGTGATGTGTCTGTACGAAGCACTTGATTTCACTGACCTTCTGTCATGACCAAAAATGCCTCATCCTCTTTGTGCAGGTTTGACGACATGCCTCTTAGTGGTCGGCGGTATCTATCTCAATCCACAGACTCGCTCCATAAACCCAATAAGGTCACAGCGTCCAATGAGTCTCTAGACGAAGGTGAGCGGACATATTTCTTTATTCTAGTATATAAGATGTGATTTCATGCCTTTTATGAAGCTTTAAACTGCTTGAGATTGTTAAGGGAAGTATGAAGCTGTCGCAAAAACACACTTATTCATCATCATTCTGTGGAGGTTGAAGACGGGGCTTCATTTGTCTTGTGTATTCTATAGTCACAGTGCTTAGTTTGTGCTGTTCATTAGCACTGTTTACAAGAACCACATGAACAGTTATATGTGTCAGATATTTTAAAGTCCTGTTTTTTTGCTCAGGGGGCTAAAGAAGACTTTACGTGCATGCTCACAGTTTGTCTTTGTCCGTGTTTGTTTTCAGCAACACATATAGGTGTGGTATATGTATTTTAACCCAGTTGTCACGTTACCCATCTAGATGTAGATATTTATTGAAACTATGCACACTATGTGTATGGGCGTGGACTTTTAGGATGCATAAAAACATGAGTCCTTCCAGACACAAAACAATTGGGGGTGGCTCAGTGGTTAGGATTGTCGCCTCACAGAAAAAAGGTCGCTGATTCGAGTCCTGGCTGATAAACAATGGACTAGGCTGAAGGAAAATGAATGGATGAATAAATAAAGTCAGAGCTGGTTTTCAATGTTATATTTGTTTTGTGTTATTTTGTCTTGTGTATCTTTGTGTCTTGGCTTGTGTCTTTTTTTTTCTTATTATTTCTTATAAGTATAAATTAAATAAATAGTCAATCTTTGACTTTTAGTTGTAATTCGCTCTTCAGATTTTTCGAGAATGAAAATTTCTAGAATAAAGTGATAATTGTTTTGTTTCTTAGTATTTTAAGAAATAATAATAAAAAAGAAACTTATTTTTGTTTTGCTTATTTGAGATTTTATTTTATTTATTTATTTATTATTATTATTATCTGAGTTTATATTTAAAAAAATGTTTTTTAAATTTATATTTTACAAAATTATAAAAAAAATAATTCTGAGAAAGAAGTCTTTGAAAAAATATATGTGGATTTCTGAGAACATTCTGTAATATGATAAAAAAGAGAAAACTGTACCTTTTTGCCCATGCAGTTGCACCTTTTTATCCCACAATTACTTCTTAAAATTGTGGAATATACAGTATAGGATTATAATGTACTAAGTTGCATTTGCGAGATTGAAAAAATATTAGTTAATCACTATGCCATTATTTTCGCTGCTCACTGCACGCAAAACAATGATCAGCTAATGAGAGTGATTGTAAACATAAGTAAGCCGATTTGCTGAAAATATTGTTAAGGGCCAATAGTTAAACGTGACTTTGACTTTAACTTGTGCATGGTGACTAATGTACACACCTTCGCTTGCACGATCCAGCAAGATTCAGCAAAAGTTAAACACTGATTATGGGACAGGTTTCCTTTTTTGTCATTATTGTCGGTTTCTTGTAGTTGTTTTATTAGGTTTTTCCCTTAGATTGACTAGTAATGTAATTTATGTAGTAATGTACTTTTTTCCCCCTTCATGGCTTTAGGAACTGAGATGGTCGACAGTCGGCTGATGGGAGATTTTGAAGCAGACGTTAAAGAACTGGAGGCCGACTCCTGGAGCCTTATTGTAGACAAGAAATATCTGAAACAACTCAAGAAGGACATCATTAAGAGACAAGACGTCATCTATGGTAGGACTGTGGTAGAACCAAATACATTTTAATTTCTTTATGACCTAAAGCAGTCACTGTACCTTTATTCTGTAGCACTATTTAAATGGTTGCAAAATGTGGCCAACACCACTGGTAAACCGTGCTGATGAGATTACTACAACTAAATGTGAAATAAAGATCAATCAAAATTGCATAGACCACTTTTAAAAAAACATCTCTTTGATGTTAAAAATACGTTATTATTATAGGTGGCATGGATTAATCTAGATTAAAATGGCTCATTTAAATTCTACCGAAGGCATTCAGAATTTGTGAACTGGGCTTATCTCCTGTTTCTAAAATGCATCACAAACTGCTTGAGAAACTGTTCTACTATGATAATTGGTGATGAAATTAAATGATGTTTAATAAGATGTACTTGTGTTTACTAACTGTTTATTAAGTTAAACATGAATGTTGAACTGTAGGCCTACATAAGCTCCAAACAGCGATTTTGGTTACCTTAATCTGACTTAAGTCAGAACTGAACTAAATAGAAATTAAGGCGTGTAATATGCAGGTTTTAGTGGCATTATTGAAGTAAACACCACGATCAAACTATTACCATCATGTAGGACTTTTTGCCATATTTTCTGAAAAGATCCACACACGCGGCTGTCAGTGAAGGACCGTGCACATACACACACACACACACACACACATCGTTAAATGCAGAAGTTTTTTTTTTTTAATTTCCATTTGGCGTGCGTTATTAAACTCCATAACATTCTCACCAGTTCTTACTTGCGTCTAATACCCCAGTTTGTCATGGGGGCATGAATGAAATGTTCATGAATTAAAGTGAAACTGCCGAACTGCAGTTAAAGTCAGGCATACTGCTGATTTGATTTAGAAGGGCACTTTTTTGTCAGAAGGCTCACCGGTGAGATATACAGCTGCGCTAAAATATCAAGGTGAAAGTCACTATAGCTTGCGTAGAATAGACACAGCTCCTAAACCAACTTTAAGAATTGTTTAACGGCGATATTTTTTTAATCGCGCGATAAGAGTCTCGCGTTAACGCAGTATGTTAAAGCCGATAATGGCCCACCACTAGTTATTACTTTAAGTGATTTCTTTCTGCATAGCTGGTCATTTGGTTGCAAGGATGTTTTTTTGTCCTATTTTTTTCTCACTTCATTGAAAAAAGAATCTAAAAAAAAATAACAAAAGTGCATAAATAAATAACAATAACAATTATAAATACAGTTTTGTGCGCTTATGCAGTACAAGTTAGGCTTCATTATTATCAACAGCTATCATGATGAATGATAGCTATGAATGATAGAAATGCAAATTTCAAACACTGCAGAATAGCTTGTAAATAACACAATCTGAGGTTCAGTTTAGAGAACTGCCTTCACACAGAAGGGAAGAGTCAGCTGTTAATGGTGTGACCATGTAACGGAGGCTAGCTTGTGAAAGCTCACTGTGCCAAAATTGCAGATTTGAGGTTGGTGTTGAATCAGAGAGGTTAACATTAAGACTTTTAAAGCATGTGAACATTATACGAGTGATTTCGTTTGAATCCTAACTCAATTGCTATTAATTGCCTAATATTCTTCTGGTGAGCAGCTTCACAAAAAAAAAAAGGGTGTTTCGGGAATAGTTTTATACAAGTTTGATACTTTATCTTGTGTTCATAAAAATGGGTATATATGGCCATTATATCTGCGCATCGATAGATTTGCTCTTCAGTGTTTGGACTTTCAGCAGTGAAAATTAAACAATTAATTTCAGTGAACTAAAATGAACTTCAACTCTGAAAACTCGACTGAAACTGTTTAAATTTAGTAGAACTTCCATGTGAAGCTGCTTTGAAACGATCTACATTGTAAACGCACTATAGAAATAAAGATGAATTGAATTGAATTGAATATAGACCTTTTTTCTTGGAATGCAAAATTACCCATTATGCTTTGCGTGTATGCGCAAGGAGAATGCGAAGAACTTCCAGTCGGCAGCTGATGCGTGTAAACAGTCACATTTGGACAGCTTTGAAATGATAGTTTTAATCTATTTTACCTGCTTTTATCCTCTTTGAACTAATACTGTTGTCCATCAGCACCATCTCCTGGACTGATAATTTAAAGAAATGCGATCTAATAGGATGGAAAACAGCTGCTGTGAGGTGTTTTCCCCTCGTTGTCAGACGACATCTTCTTCAGTTTAAGTGAAGCCTTGTCATCGCTAAAGTCAACATTTTCTCTTTATTTCAAATATATAACCAGCCCAAACAAATGTAATTCACCAAAATGTTTGACACACACACGTAGCCTGTACTGTGCCACTGACACACTGATTTAATAACTGTGACAAAGTGAAATATAGGCTAGTGTCATTTCGAAATGACAGAAAAACACAAACCCTGGTGAATACAACACACCAAATAAAACACCAACGGCTCACGATTAGAATGAACAGCAAATCAGCCAGCAGAGGATCAATAACAGACTTTTATTGGTCATTTTTGTAAATTGCACGACTTTCATACCTGTTAAGTTTCATGCCAGTACTCTGGTTTGCTCTCTCTCTCTCTCTCTCTCTCTCTCTCTCTCTCTCTCTCTCTCTCTCTCTCTCTCTCTCTCTCTCTCTCTCTCTGTGTGTGTGTGTGCGTGTGTGTGCCGTCACACAGTATTTCTGACGGCAGACACGTGAACTAGGAGAACGTTTTTCTCGTATTTCTGGCACGCTTGAACCACATGTGACAGATTATAACGGCTTTAACAGACACATTTCTAAGTTGTGTGTCACAAAATACTCTTGTTATCCATTAAAAACGTTATTGAAACCCATTTTCGGAGCGAAAATTACCAGTTGTACTTGCTGTAAGCTGAAGTTTTTAGCATTCTACCGGAAGACGCTGGTCGCTATGGCGCCCTCCATGCAGCAGCCATGAAAAAGGTCTATAGGCTTTAACCTATCTACCTTTTTTTATCTTAAAAAAAGTAACAAACAAGCAACGTAAGTTCATTTGAATGCGAACTGATGCAAATGGTTTAGAAGCAGCTGGCCAGTTTCCCATAGGAATCTTTAGCTTCTCAAATAGTCTTCTTCATCCGCCTCTCTAGATGTGCGTCTCTAAACATCCTCTCCTTGTCTCGATCCAGAGCTGATCCAGACAGAGATGCATCACCTGCGGACGTTACGGATCATGTGTGATGTGTACAGCAAGGGTCTGTTGATGGATCTGCAGCTGGAGCCCCAGGCGGTGGAGAAGATGTTCCCCATGCTGGATGATCTGCTGGAGCTGCACTCCTTTTTTTTCAGCGCTCTGCTGGAGAGAAAAAAAGAGGCCCGGCTGGACGGGACAGACGGATTCTTGATCCACAGGATAGGAGATTTGCTGGTCAGCCAGGTGAGGACATTTTATACAGGTGAAGTCAAAATGATTAGCCCTCCTGAGACATTTCTATTCTTGTAAAACTATTTTACAAGTGCTTTTTTACACTCAATAGTTTGAATAACAAATTTATGATAACTGATTTACTTTGTTTTTGCCATAGTTACATTTTAATGAATTTAAATTTACTCATTAAGTTTAATTATTTTAAATTACCAATTTAACTAGTTAACTATTTCGTAAAACACTTGTATTTAGAATAATGTGCAGTTGAATTACATTAGGGCAACGTGGCTCAGTGGTTAGCACTGTGGTCTCACAGCAAAAAGGTCGCTGGTTCAAGTCCCAGCTGGGCCAGTTGGCGTTTCTGTGTGGAGTTTGCATGTTCTACCCGTGTTGCCGTGGGTTTTCTTTGGGTGCTCCGGTTTTTCCCACAGTCCAAAGACATGGGCTATAGGTTGTTTTCACATGACTTAGATGGAGGGCAGGAAGTTATTCTTCTGCATAGGAATAGCTATCAGAAGATAAAAAATGTTTCTGTTTTATGTTGTTTATAATTGTTTAAATCAGCCGAAATGATAAATGCCAAACAGCTTTTATAGGCCTTCAAAGGTTTTTGCTCATAAAGGGGGAAAAGTTTAAGAAATTCACTTAAAAATGGAAGAAAATGTGGCATTTACTAAGCATTCATTCAATATATCCATGTCCACAAACTTTTGAACGCGATAATTCTTTTAACAGCACCAATAAAGATCATATACAGGCCTAGCTATGTGTATTATATGTTAATGTGTTAAATAAAAAACAGATACAAACACCACCACACACATATACAAAGTCCAAGAGAACATAAATAACTGCACTTAATTGCATTTCGGCAGAATAACAACCGTAACATTAACATCGAGATGTGCAGCAGCGTTGAATGTTTGATGGTAAATTCACCGACCGAACAAAAAAGAAATGCAACGCTTGTGAGCAAAACCAGACGGTTATTATTGTGGAGCACCGTTTATCATCCACAAAAAAAAATACAATAAAAAAATAATAATATAATAATAATGTAGACTATGCATTCATGTTTTTGTGTGTTTTTTTTTGTGTACATGTCTGGAAAATATAATGGAAAAAACTAATAATAGATTGTAATATGTTTTTGAATTGCACTTTAGTAAAGTGTACAGTACAGCTCTTCCTTAATGAATGCTACAGAATACTGTTAAACTGATTAACTGTAATGAATAATGTAATGTCAGTGTAAACTGTGGTGCATTGTGATGGTGTATATATTATAAAAATGTAGCCTATTGGATAAATTGTTCAATCCAGTTGAAAACTCGGTCCTCTTCATAATATAAGGATCATGCCCAACATATGTGGTTATTTTCTAATTATATCTCCTTTGAAATATGGTATAAAACAAAATACTGACTTTCCCCTATGTTTCCCACTCAGTTATTTACTTCCTCCCCTCTGAATTTTGTGCCTCACCAGAACCACTAGATTGTAAACAACCTAATGGTGAATTGGATGAACTAAACGGGCTGTAGTGTACAGTACAGTATGAGTGTGTGTGTGTGTTTGTAAATGCAAGAGTGTATGGTTGTTTCCTAGCAATGGGTTGCACTGAAAGGGCATCCACTGCGTAGAACCTATGTCGAAATAGTTGGCGGTTCATTCCGCTGTGGCGACCCCTGACGATTAAGTCAAAGGAAAATTAATGAATGAGTAATTAAGTTAAATAGTTAAGTTATATCCTGTGGTGAGTTATAAATAGTTGTCAAGTGGACAATTGAAAAAAAAAGTCTTAATGGCTAATAATATTTTCCTTAAAATTGTTTTTTTAAATATAGAAGTGTGTTAATTCCAGCCTACCTAAAATAAATAAGATTTTCTCCAGATAACAATATATATAATAGGAAAAACTATGAAAATGCCGTTATGTGTTAAATAATATTAATATTAGTATAATATTAATATTAGTATAATAATATTTCATAGGTCTAAAGAAGTTTTTTGTCTCATATGACACAAACACACATCAACTTGCAAGCAGTTTAATTGTTGACATCCAGGCTCCTGTAATGATTTCTCACATGATGGCCTTCAGTTTTCAGATTCCAACGCAGAAAGCATGAAGAGAATCTATGGCAAATTCTGCAGCCGACACAACGAAGCAGTCAACTTCTACAAGGATCTGCATGCCAGAGACAAACGCTTCCAGGCCTTCATCAGGGTAAATGCTTCTCTTCTTTGTTTTGGCCATTCTTTCCATAAGGAATACCTAACAGTCCTTCAATGCCTCTTTATCTCCAGAAAAAAATGAGCAGCAGTGTTGTCCGGCGCCTGAGCATCCCAGAGTGCATATTACTGGTCACTCAGCGGATAACAAAGTACCCGGTGCTTTTACAAAGGATCCTGCAGCACACCAAAGGTGAGATTCAGTCGGACAGCTGGGATTTAAAGTCGTAGCTTATGCAAAAAATGAAAATCTATTTATTTACTCACTCTCTTGCGCTTCCAAACTTATATGGGTTTCTTTATTCTGTTGAACAGAAATGAACATATTTTAGCTGCAAACTAGTCGCCATTAACATCAATACTAGGAAAAAACAAATATGGAAGCCAGCGGTTACAGCTATCCAGCAAAATATCTTCTTTTTGTGTCCAACAGAAAAAAATAAAGAATTGGAGGGTGAGTAAATGATGACAAACTCATTTTTGGGTGCACCAAAATGCTATTTTTGAGCCACAGCTGTGGAGTAAAGTCTCCGTACTTCATCAGTGCTTAAGAAGTGCACCAATATTTCACTCTCAGTAAACACGGCTGTCTTACAGCTAAACCAAATACACGAGAAGCAACCTGTAAACACTCCACGCTCACCGCAAACCACTTCCAACTGCTGCACAGCGAGTCTGAGAGGCTTTTTGGTCACGTTCCCAACAAAGAGATTTTAAAGTGAGTGTCAAGTTTAACAAATATCATTTCAGGGGCAATTTGAGAGGCAGCTTATAGCTCTCAAGAGGACTTTAAATTGCCAGTCTAATAGTCTAATATTACAGTGAAACAAAATGGACTGGTCTGTTGTTTATAGGAATTTGTTGCAATTCAGTTTCAAAATACAGTTGTAGCCACACTGCAAGATGGTCGCTAGTTCAAGTCCCGGCTGGGCCAGTTGTCATTTCTGTGTGGAGTTTGCATGTTCTCACCATGTTGGCGTGGGTTTCCTCAGGGTGCTTCGGTTTCCCCAACAGTCCAAAGACATGCACTATAAGTGAATTGGATGAACTAAATTGTCCGTAGTGTATGAGTGTGAATGTGAGAGTTTATGGGTGTTTCCCAGTACTGGGTTGCAGCTGAAAGAGTCCGCTGCATAAAACATAAGCTGAATAGTTGGCGGTTCATTCCGCTGATAAACAGGGGAATAAGGGTGCTTTCACATCTGTGGTTCAGATCGTTTGGTCTGGACCAAGGGCAACAAATGATACATTGTAGCATTTTTCTGCCGTCTTTGGGTCTTTTTCACAGCACACTGAATGCTTTGGTCCGAACAAGCTGAAAAGAACCAAAATGCAGTCATGTGACAAAATCCACATCACTCACTGGCCAGATGTTATTGAACGTATTTCCTAGACTGGTTTTCGATTGGTCAGAATTCACGTGCAGGTAAATGCCAATGGAACTCCCGTAAGTAAACAAACCTGCAGACACAAAATGTGTCTTTTTAATATAGATGGACGACTCTGCTGGTTGATTGTATCCCTGCTCATAGTATACTATATAGTTTTTATACATTCAATTAAATTCAATTCAGCTTTATTTGTATAGCGCTTTTATAATGTAGATTGTGTCAAAGCAGCTTCACATAAATGGTCATAGTAACTGAAACAGTGTGGTTCAGGTTTTAGTGTTTAAGTTCAGTTCAGTTCAGTTTAGCTCAGTTCAGTGTGGTTTAATCATTACTGAGAGTTCAAACACTGAAGAGCCAATTCATCGATGCTTAGCTCAACCAATCCTGAACCATGTGAGGCAGTGGCGACAGCGGAGAGGGAAAAAAAAACTTCACCTGATGGGAATGAAGAAAAAAAAACGTTGAGGGAACCAGACTCAGTTGGGCACGACCATTTTAATTTCTCCGCTGGCCAAAAGTCTTGTGCAGAGCTTCATTCGCCGTGGTTTAGGCAGGAAGATGGCCCCAGCGAAGACTCGTCTGTCCCTGGAACGTCGCTGGAATCAGACTCATGTTCTCCACTCCCCACGACCATCAGCGCAGCAGCAGCTCAGGATATGGCCTGGTCCCGGATATGGAATCCTTGGGATCATCACGTCGCTGGTCTTGGATCCAATCAGTGACTCCGCATAATCTGAGGACCTCGTGATGAGTATCCCCAGGTGAAAATAGAGAATAAAGAGAATAATTAGCGTAGCTGCTGTTCATTGTGTATATAAGCAAGATGCAGAAGCCTGTGTGGAACCCGCTAGGTGATGCATTGAGTGTATGCTTTACTAAACAGATAGGTCTTTAATCTAGTTTTGAACTGGGAGAGTGTGTCTGAGCCTCGGACGTTATCAGGAAGGCTATTCCAGAGTGTAGGAGCCATGAAAGAGAAGGCTCGACCTCCTTTACTTGATTTTGCTATTCTAGGTACTACCAGAAGCCCTGAATTTTGAGATCTTAAAGAGCGAGTTGGATTGTAGTGAGACAGAAGGTTGGTTAGATAAACAGGAGCTAGATTATTTAGAGCTTTATAGGTGAGAAGTAATATTTTAAATTCAATACGAAACTTAACAGGCAGCAAGTGTAAGGAGGATAAAATTGGGGTGATATGATCATATTTTCCTGACCTGGTCAGAACTCTGGCTGCTGCATTTTGTACTAATTGAAGTTTGTTAATAGAGGATGCTGGGCAGCCAGCAAATAGAGCATTACAGTAATCCAGTCTCGAAGTCATAAAAGCATGGACTAGCTTTTCTGCATCTGAGATGGATAGCATATTTCGTAATTTTGCGATATTTCTCAGATGAAAGAAGGCAGTTTTAGTGACATGGGATATATGGTTTTTAAAAGTTAGATTGCTGTCTAATATGACACCCAGATCTTTTATAGTAGAGCTAAAACTAACTTTGTATCCCTCTAATTGTAAATTGAGTTGCGAGATCTGCTGTGTGCAAGATTTAGGCCCAATAAGTAATAATTGGTAATAAAAAGTAATAATAATCACTTTAGTCAAACTATACATTTCAAGAATGAAGCGCGGCTTCGGCTGAAAAACAATATTTTAATGCATTGCAAATGGCGAAGGCGCATCGCAAGTCACTTCTGGAGGAGGCGTGAATTCATTTAGCTGAACTGCGACATGCTCATCTTCGGGAAATATTACCAACGATCCATCAGGTAAGGTGTTTTCCTCTCTATTTAAATTTGTTGTTAAAGCGCTGTCAACAAATATTTTTCTTTCACATCTCATAAGATGGGACAGCGCATCGAACTACGGCAGCTGGATTAGTCCAAAATGGCGCTGTACTTTTTGTGGTTGGGTCTGTTTTAGTCACCACAAATGAACCACTTCAGGGTTCGTTTGAAATCATACCAGGACCACCTCTTCAAGCAGGTTTCAGTACGCTTTTTTGGTCCGCTTTTGGTGCACACTCGAGTACGATTGCTGCATTCACACCTGCCCCAAAGAACCGCACCAAGAGTGAAAATGAACTCCAGTCTGATTAAACCGAACTAAATGAGGCAGGTGTGAAAACACCCTAATACAAATGAAAATTATTAAATGAATGAATAAATAAATAAATGAATACAGATGCAAGCAGTAATCCGGGACCAAGCACAACATTGATCAGTTAATGATGAAAAGAAATTCAAATTGATTTTAATTAAAAAAAAGGCAGATATGGAGATCAAACTGACATCTCCACATGGTATTGATCAACCTTGAAAAATATTGACATGTTTAAACATTTAGCTGATTTCAGTGTGGAATTAACTTCCTATTTTCACCCAGCTACCAGTGAAATTGCCATCCTGACTCTGTCTGGACTAATATTTGATGTCAAACTGATATCAAGATACCTTTTGGGAAGCATTATGTGTAGTTGCTAGAGGGGGCCAATTCTCTTATATATATATATATATATATATATATATATATATATATGTGTGTGTGTGTGTGTGTGTGTGTGTGTGTGTGTGTGTGTGTGTGTGTGTGTGTGTGTGTGCGCGTGCGTGCGTGCGTGTGTGTGTTGGAAAGAGTACTGAAAAATCATACTTAACTTAAAGTGCCATTACTTGCCCAAAAATGTAGGTAAGTTGTTCGAACTACTCTAATATCTGTTGTAAATACTACTTAAAGTATGAGTAAAAAAATAGCTCTTTTAAAAGTACTCAAGAGTAGTGAGCATTATGCTGTAAAAAGCTGATGTGTTTACATGTAATTTGTGGTTGAGTGTAATTGTAACATTCTGTAGTGCATTTAGTTATTGCCCACCGGACACACAATGTCATAAGATGTTAATATTAGGTTAGATTTAGTTCCATGTCAGGTGACCAGAATTCAATGTCCAAGGACAACGTTATTTTTATGTGCAATATTGACATCAAATTACATTGATATTTGGTTGATTTTAGGTTGTGTTGGAAAGTGACCAAAATCCAACGTCAAGCCAACAACTTAAATCAATATCATATTGATGTCAAATACTGACATTAACTCGTCACATTTGGCAACCAAAATCCAACATCAAATAGACGTCATAGTGGTAACGTCTACACAGTGTGAAGGTGTAACATCATTAGACGTTGATATTTGGTTACGTCCCCACGACGTTTGGGTACAACTTCAATCTAACGTCTTGTGCCTGCTGTGTGTCTAAGGCCTTTTTCGGTCTTCATACAGTAAACATCCGTTATCTTCTCATCAGTGACATGCATCTAAACAGTCTCTGGGTCAATGCGTGTAAAGATTTTGGACATCTTGGACACGTTTATGATTCCAAGCAGTTTGCTGCAGTTATGAATCGCCCATGTCTTGAGGTGGTTCATTATGATGCGATTTACCTTCTATGTGCGATTTGATTGGAGAGGAATCACAGGACTGAATTATTTATTCCCCATAGACAAGAAAAAATAGTGACTCCAGGTTAAAGGAAACTAGTGGAGTAAAAGTACTGCACTAAAATGTACTCAACGGAAAGAAAAATAACACAATTTTAAACTACCTTATAAATGACAATTCCTGAGGAAAAAACTACTCAGTTACAGTAATTTGAGTATTTGTAATTTGTTATTTACAGCACTGTATATATGTAACCCAGTCACTCTCTGCGTGCTCGCTGGCCTCTCTGCATTGTGTTGTATGTGTGTGTAAGGTGGGAAACAAAGCAAATAGAGGTTTGTGATCGTGACTCGACCATTAATTTGACAGCAGGGCATCTATCAGGGTTGATGACACAAACTGATAGATGAAAATATGGCTCACTACGCATTTATCAGCACTAAAGTACATCAAGAGGCTCAAACATTGCTAGAATCCTCAGAATGTTTTAATTCAACAGTGTCATGGCGACACCTTGTGGACAAAGCCATACACTGCCCTACATATATATAAACTATTTTACAATATGTTGCCAAAATGTGTGATAAATTGCACAAATGACCTAGGAGGAGTTTGAAAAATAAAGATTAAATAAAAAAGGCTCTAACTGGTGTAATAATTTTATGCATGGCAACAAAATCTTGGATGTTTTGTTCAGCTTAAGTCAGAAAATCATTGGGAAATAGTATTTTGATTTTCAAGAAAGTGAAATAATGTGCTGTTATATTACCATTTATGGTCCAACCTTTCTCTATGTGTGTGTGTGTGTGTGTGTGTGTGTGTGTGTGTATACACCTGGGTATTGGAGTAGATTTAGGACCATCCTTCCAAATGCGGTTGTTTTAGGTTTTATGGTTTTGGTTGGCCTGACACTTTTAGGGCAAAAAATAAATAAGAAGAAGAAAATAAGAACGAACCTCTGATGTTTGTACCCTTAACAAACCTGCATGTATATGTGTGTGTGCAGAGAACGAGAAGGATTTTGAGGACTTGACGCAGGCTTTTCAGTTGTTGAAGGATATAATTGCGTCGGTGGACAGTAAAGTAAATGAACATGAAAAGAAGAAGAAGTTGAAGGAGATCTACGGCCGAACGGACAGCAAGTCCATCACGCGGATGAAGAGCGGACAGATGTTTGCTCGAGAGGATCTTGTGCGCGGACGCAGGCTTCTTCATGATGGGCCTCTGCAGCTGAAGAACACAGCTGGACGACTCAAAGGTATAGCTCTTTTATTTTATTTTATTTTATTTTATTTTATTTTATTTTATTTATTTTATTTTCATTTAACATTTGAAGTTTATTTAAATTTTTACAAATTTGTATTTAGTCTTTGTATTTATATCACTTATTTTTATTGATTGATTTATTTTATATGAAATGAGCTACTTCAAGTTCTATTCAAGTTGCTAATTACTTCGTTGCTAATAAAAAAACACATAAACAAATAAATAAATATATTTGTTGTAGTTTTAATTACTACCGAGTATTTGTAGCAGTTTAATGTAATCCATAAATCAGTCAATTTATAATTTTTGTATGCATTATACAAAATATTAAAGGGCACCTACGATGAAAATCATCTTCTGTAGGATGTTTGGACAGAACTGTGTGTAGGTAAAGTGTGTCCAAAGTCTTATTGGAGTGACATAAACACAATAAGTCTCTCTCTGTTTTTGAAGCCGACCTCAATTTGATGTAGGAGTGCGGTTTCCCTTCCCCATTTTGGGGACTTTAAATCAGGTTTATTTTGTACATTACAGATATCCACACAGCAGTTCATATAAACATGTATCCTGACACATTTGTATGCAAAGTTAAATGCCTCTGCTGTGTCTGTGCCTGTGTGTGTGCGTGAACTTATAACGACATTGTATGTAACTCATCATTGCAGAAAGGCTTGAATTAACTCCACTACAAATACATCAAATAATCATTGGGAAAGTTCTTACTCTAGTATTTCTCACAAATGTCGCGTGAGATCTGCTTCCTTTATGTCTGTCACATTGCTGTTTACCTGACGCAGCCGGAGATTGAGGCACACTCTGACAGGCACATGGGAACAATGGGCAGGGAGAACTAGCATTAAAGGCACAGGCAACAAAAACTACATAGTGTTTAGATCAGAAAGTTCAAATATTCTAAAAGGTATAATAAATAATCCGATTTTGAGCTGAAACTTTACAGACATGTTTTGAAGACACAAAAGACTTATCGGTAACACTTTACAATAAGGTTCATTAGTTAATGCATTTACTAACATGAACTAATTATGAACAACACTTGTACAGCATTTATTAATCATAATTGAACATTTACTAATGCATTATTAACATCCAAGTCCATGCTTGTTAACATTAGTTAATGCACCATGAGTTAACATGAACTAACAATGAACTACTGTATTTTCATTACCTAACATGAACAATTACAGTAGCAAATGTATTGTTTATTGTTTGTTCATGTTAGTAAATGCATTAATTAACATTACCTAATAAACCTTATTGTAAAGTGTGACCGACTTATCTTAAACCTTAAAAAAGTGGTAAAATAGGTGCCCTTTAAAATAAATTATATGAATATTATATTGTGTTTCAGTAAACATTGTATTTCAGTAACCATTCATAATAATCAACTTTAGATGTAATGGATTTTAAATGATACTTTATAAAAAATTTTATTTAGTTTTTACTACAATCATTCAAATACAAATGTCCAAAATTTGGCACATCTACATTAATATTGCATGATTTTTGTGGTTCCACAATATTTTGGAAGTGAATGTAAACTAACATCAGTATCATGTTTTTGTTGTTGTTGTTTGTTTGCTTGGTTTTTGTCGTAGATGTCCATGCTCTTCTTCTTTCTGATGTCTTGGTGTTCCTTCAAGAAAAAGACCAGAAATATGTTTTCGCATCTCTGGTGAGTGGTTGGATTTTTTTATACCAAATTCAGCATGAAATCTGAATTTACTCCTATATTACGCCATCAATACATATTGCTCAAAACTAAAAACTTTCATTCACAGGTGGACTACAATGTTAAATAATGTAAATAATAATAATAATAAATAGTTAGTGTGTTTAATCATCTAACATTACAGTCTTTGTGAAATTAAAATTTACAATGTTTATTTAGCTAGCGCAGGTTGTTACACGTAATTTACAGAATTCACTAAAAAAAGAGTTTGTTTTGGTAATCTTTAATCAAATGCTAACCATTTGCTTCTGTGTTTGGAGCGGCGCTCCATCTCTGATGACTACAGTTTGATGCTTCAGCCAAAATATTTTGTCACACTTTATTTTGATGGTCCGTTTGTTGAATTTAAGTATGGTATATGTAAGTTGTTGTTTTTTATGTTTTATTTACATTTACATTTAGTTGTTTAGCAGACGCTTTTATCCAAAGCAACTTACAAATGAGGACATGGAAGCAATTTACACAACTATAAGAGCAAGTTTCAGGTGTGTAAAGTCTAAGAAGCGAAATCTATTTATTTTTTCTTTCTGTAATACAGTTAGCGGTGGAGCCAGAGAGGCAATTGCAGATTAGGAAAGAAAGTGGAGACTAAATAGTTGAGTTTTTAGTCGTTTCTTGAAGACAGCGAGTGACTCTGCTGTTCTGATGCAGTTAGGGAGTTCATTCCACCAACTGGGCAGATTGAATGCGAGAGTTCGGGAAAGTGATTTCTTCTCTCTTTGGGATGGAACCACGAGGCGACGTTCATTCACAGAACACAAGTTTCTGGAGGGCACATAGATCTGCAGAAGTGAGAGCAGATAAGAAGGAGCAAGGCCAGAAGTCACTTTGTAAGCAAACATCAGAGCTTTGAATTTGATGCGAGCAGCAACTGGCAGCCAGTGCAAACGGATGAGTAGTGGGGTGACATGTCAACTTACACTAACTCCAACCCCAACCTAACAGTCTACGTACTGAAAAATCTAATGAGAATTAGTTGGCATGTAGATGCAATGTAACTTAAATTCAACAAACGGACCATCAAAATAAAGTGTTTTTAAGGACAACTTTTGTGTTTATTGTATCCATCAATTAAAACAAGAATGTCTTCATGACTGAACTCTTTAAAAAAAATAAAAATAAAAAATAAAAAGTAAAAATAAAAATCAGTCACACTTTATTTTGATGGTCCTTTACATTGCATTTACATGCCAACTAATTCTCACTAGATTATTCAGTAAGTAGACTGTTAGGTAGGGGTTGGGGTTAGGGTTAGTGTAAGTTGACATGTGTTTGCAAAATTTCTTATAGTCAGTTAAATATCTGTTGAAGGAGCAGACATTAAGCAGACAGTCTACTAATAGTCAAATGGACCATTAAAATAAAGTGTTACCCAATACTCTTAACCAAACCCCTCTTACTGTTAGTTTGCTATGAGGGAATGATGCGCAAAAATAACAGCCCCTTGCTCAATATTCACTCTCAGTTGGAAGCACATCAACATACTGACATAAAAGCACAGCAACTTTTAGTTCACACAGACTTTAATAAATGCTATATGAGTATTGTTTATTCATTGTTCATCATGTTCTTGCTAATGAACTAGTGGACACAATGTTGTTCATACCCAGTGTGAAGTGTGTCTGTGGTCATTCATTTGATTATTGAATATTATTGTCCTCTCTCTTCCTCCGCCCTCCTCATTCTGTGTGTGTGTGTGTTTCTTGTCCACGGCAGGACCAGCGCGCCACCGTCATTTCCCTTCAGAAGCTGATTGTGCGTGAGGTGGCACACGAGGAGCGCGGCCTCTTCCTCATCACCGCCGGCATCGCAAACCCAGAGATGGTGGAGGTTCACGCCAGCTCGCGAGAAGAGCGCAACACCTGGATGCAGATCATTCAGGATGCCATGCACTCCATGTGAGTAAGACACTTTCACATCCACTGCTGGTCAATGGAGAAGCCAAAAGCTTTTTCTTTTTTGAGAAGCTAAATAATTTGGAAAGATGAAGAATTCATTTTGTTCTATCATTTTATGTTATGTTAATGTGCTATTTTAATAACTCATTTCTAATAACTGATTTCTTTTATCTTTGCTATGATGACAGTAAATAATATTTGACTAGATATTTTTCAAGACACTTCTATACAGCTTAAAGTGACATTTTAAGGCTTAACTAGGTTAATAAGGTGAACTAGGCAGGTTAGGGTAATTAGGCAAGTTATTGCATAATGTTGGTTTGTTCTGTAGATTATCGAAAAAATATAGCTGAAGGGGGCTAATAATATTGACCTTAAAAAAATTAAAACAAAGAAGACTTTCCCCAGAACAAAAAAAAAATATTATCAGACATACTGTGCAAATTTTCTTTATTTGTCAAACATAATTTGGGAAACATTTTTAAAAAAAAGAAGAAAAATTCAAGGGGAGGCTATATATATATATATATATATATATATATATATATGAGACCTGTGATTGTATAATGTTATCAAAAAGAAATTCAGGTGTAAGAAATTGTACCATTTGTGTCCCTATCTACAATTCATTGTATTGACTTATTTTTTATTTTCATCATTCAGTTACTGTATTGAATACTGTTAGACTCGGAACCTCATAAAACACTTTATATCAATTCTATATTTTTCTTGATTGTATTTGTAGATTATTATGCATGAAAATACTCAGAATACATGCAAATATGGAAATGTACTGCAAGTAGCATAGACAGCAACGAAAATATGTTGGGGGACCCCAAAAAGTTTATAGATTGTTTATTAGATTTTATGGAGATGCACTACCACTCGGCGGCGTGGTGGCACAGTGGGTAACGCTGTCACCTCACAGCAAGAAGGTCGCTGGTTTGAGTCTTGGCTGGGTCAGGTGACATTTCTGTGTGGAGTTTGCATACAATCCACAATCCCACAATCCAAAGATATGCGCTATAGGTGAATTGGGTAAGCTAAATTGTCCGTAGTGTATGTGTGAATGAGAGTGTATGGGTGTTTCCCTGTAATGGGTTGCAGCTGGTAGGGCTTCCGCTGCGTAAAACATATGCTGGATAAGTTGGTGGTTCATTCCACTGTGGCGACCCCTGATTAATAAAGGGACTAAGCCGAAAAGAAAGTTTATGAATGAATGCACTCCCACTGCAGAATCATCTTAATCGATCTAACAATATCCAAATAATATATTAATTCTTCTGGTGAAATTCATATCACAATATATATCACAAAATAAAAAACTGCACAATGATAGATTTTTCCAATATTATGCAGCCCTAGTTTTAAGGTATATTCAGATATTATATAGGTAGTTGGAGGCAGAATTATTAGCCCCCCTGTGATTATTTTGTTTTCTTTTTTAAATATTTCCCAAATGTTGTTTGACAGAGCAAGGAAATTTGTCTGATAATGTCTTTTCTTCTGGAGAAAGTCTTATTTGTTTTATTTTAGCTAGAATAAAAGCAGTTTTTAATTTTTAAAAAAACATTTTAAGGTCAAAATTATACAGCATATTTAAGATATATATTTTTGGGTAGTCTACAGAACAAACCATCATTATACAATAACTTGGCTAATTACCCTAACCTGCCTAGTTAACCTAATTACCCTAGTTAATATCACTTTAAGCTGTCTAGAAGTGTCTTGAAAAATAATTTGCATAGTATTATTTACAGTCATCATGGCAATGATAAAATAAATCAGTTATTAGAAATGAGTTATTAAAACTATTATGTTTAGAAATGTGTTTAAAAAAATCTCTCCTTTAAACAGAAATTGGGGAAAAATAAACAGGTGGGCTTATAATACTGACTTCAACTGTATATATTTGGATGAATATATATATATATATAATTGACTAAATGACTAAATAATTTTGTAATTAATTACTTAATTTAATAAGAGAAAAATTCAGGGGCTGAAAAGGGGATGTTTTTTTTAAGACTTACCAAAAAGTGTTTAGTTTTTATTTTTCATTGGTTTACAGAGAAAAAGATGATGATGAGGGCATCCCGAGTGAAACAGAAGAAGACAGGAAGCTGCTTGAAACCAAGACTAGAGAAATGAGAGGTGAGAAACATGATTTCTGTTAATTTAGCTTTTTTTTTAGTTTTTGAAAGTTTCAAATACATTTTTTAAATAAATTTACATTTATTATTAATTATTAATAACATATTTTCTTATCATAATTGATGCATGTGTGTGTGCTTGTGTAAAAATAAGGCTCTTAAAAATAATTTTCTATTTGCTTATGAATGAGTTTCTACAATATGTTTGTTGTCAGCAATTATTTTATTCATTTATCATCATCATCATCATCATCTTATTTTCTCTTTTCTTCGACCTTCTGTTTTATCCACTAAACCTTAACTGTGTTTCTGCTGTGTTGTGCTAGAAATGCTCCAGAGGAAGGATGAGCAGATCGTGTCGCTCCTGCTGGAAAAGATGAAGATCTTTCGGGAGATGTGCGGTTCGTCTGAAGACCCACAGGTCAAGATGCTTTTCAGGTCCAACAACGAGGAGGTGGCGAAGGGGGAGCCCATCATGACAGACGCTCTGAGAGAGGGTAAGAATCTCTTCAGCTGGACTCAACCTGTCCTCCCCAAACCCATCTCTTATTTATGACTGATTAGTGTTCAGGGGCAGCTGCGGCAACAGCTCATTTCCAGCTCTAATCCTCTTTCAGCAGCACTAACTCACTTAATGTAATGCAGTTAGTGATGTGTGTGTGTGTGTGTGTCTTTATGAGTGTTTACAATATGTGTCTACAGTATGTGTCTATTTTAAGTCAACAGCACCTTTAGAAATATGTTTTCTGAGAAAAATGACTTGTTCAATACTTATTTTCCTCCACTGTATGGAGAGTCCTCAGACAGATCATAAACCAGATGTGTGTTTGTGTATCAGTGGAGATGCTGCAGGCGCTGGTGAACAGCAGTCTGGGCGGAGCAGTTGGGCAGCAGGTGGCCTGTGCGCAGGGTATCATGGGACCCGTGTGTCTCCCACGAAGAGCCGAAACCTTCGGAGGCTTTGACTGCCACCAGATGAACACCTGCAAACGTGAGCTATTTAATATGGCCAGAAGGAAACGTTGATGCTAAAATAAAACAATGGCTTTTTATAATCATGATTTTGACTTGCTTTAATTAATATTTTACTAGTTATTTTGCCAAAACCTAGTATTCAGAGTAAAGTGCATTTTAAAGGCTTAACTAGGTTCATTAAGAAGTTAGTTTAGCAATAAAAAAAAGAATTAATTAATTTGAATTATATTTAATTTTATTGTATTTTTAATTTTAATACATTTTATTTTATATACATTTTTTTATTTTCATTCCATATTTTTTATTTTTTATGTTTTATTTTTATTTTTATAAAAAATAATTAATTAATTTGAATTGTATTTAATTTTATTGTATATTTATTTTTTATTTTATTGTATATGCTTTTTATTTTCATTCTATATTTTTATTTATATTATATTATATTATATTTTTATTTTATTTTATTTTATTTAAAAAGGAATTAATTTTATTTGTTTTTAAATTTATTCTATTTTTATTTTTTATTTTATTTTATATTTTTTATTTTCGTTCTATATTTTATGTTTTATTTTATTTTACTTAAAAATAATGAATTAATTTGAATTGTATTTAATTTTATTGCAAATATTTTTTTATTTTTATTTTACGTATTTTTTTTATTCTAGATTTTATGTATTTTATGTTATATTTTATTTTGTTTTATTTAAAATAATGAATTAATTTTAATTGTATTTAATTTTTTGGTATTTTTATTTTAAATTTTATTTTATTTATTTTGTATTTTATTTATTTATATTTTTGTCATGGAATTTTTATTCTCTCAAATAGAATTTTACATTTTACAACAATCCGCAAAACAATGCCCAAATAAAACGATCAACATTTAAAAGAAAAAAAAATGAAAGAAAATAAAACTATAAATAATAATAATAATAATAATAAATCTGAAAAATACAAATACAGAAAAAAATAATAAAAATATTAACAAACCCTATTCATAAATACACATACTGTATACCTTCTCTCAATCTATATTTAAGGTTTTTAAGAGATTAAAGAATGCAATAAATTGTTCTCCTCTACCTCTGACATTGTACTTAATTTTCTCAAGTTTTAAAAAGAAGACCAAATCTTTGAGCCACAATGAAATAGAGGGGGGTTGTGGGAAGCCCAAGACAACAGCATTCTGCTCCTAGCGAGAAGAGATGAAAAATCCACAATGTCAGCGTGTCTCCGGTTTAATGGTTGACACTGAGAGGGAACACCAAAGATAGCAATTAAAGAGCAAACAGGGAACTTGAACAGAAACAATTTTAAAGAAAGTAATCCAATAGTTTTGCAACTTGGGACATAATACAAACATATAACTACAATCACATGGTGAGTTTACATTTATCACACATTTCTGAAATATATATTTTTTTTTCATTCTATATTTTTATTCATTTTTATACAAAATATTTAATTTTAATAAAAAAATATTTTAAAAGTTTTTATTCTTTTAATTTTATTTGATAAATATATTTTTTCATTTTTTATTTTGTTTAGTTTTTATTTTATTTAAAAATGAACTATTTTAATTGTTGTTTTATTTTATGTATTTTTAAATAAATTAATTCATTTTACCATATTTTTATTTTATTTTATTTAAAGCTGAAAGAAACAAGGCTTTCTCCAGAAGAAAAATATAATAGGTTACACTGGAATAATTTCACAGGAGGGCTTATAATTATGTTTTCAGCTGTTTATAATGTAATGTAACCAATTATGTTTCTAATATAAAACTACATTTTTATAATGCAATTTGTACTGAGTAATGGACTTCAGCTACAAAAACAGTCACACACAGTCAGAGTAAACAAAATAAAAACACAGATAAGTCACATTTTATAATAACATTCAGAGGTGATGTAAAACATGCTACTACTCTAAATAAAATGAAATGGGAAAAAACACACCTACCAAATAAAAAGAGCAAAAATCTTATATTCCAGGAAAAAACAAATAAAGAGGCAGTTGTTCATACATTGTTTATATTTTCTGTAGATGGTGAGAAAGAGGAGGCTGAAGATCTGCGGAGGACAGAGTCTGACAGTGTGCTGAAGAAGGTAAGAAAGCCAAGATTACATCCTTTTATTCAGTCAGAGACTGAGTTTGTTTTAAAATCTAAGTGTGCTGTTTCAGTATACTGTAGTCAACATTTGAAGTGAATCATCAATTTTTATCAAAGTTGTCCTAAAACTGTTGAACAACTTCCATTTTAGTCCTAGGACAGTACTACACTGTACAATAGATAGATAATGTAGATAAATGGATGGATGGATGGATAAAACATTTATAAAATGTAATTGCATATCTACCCATATATGGAGAAATAGTTTTTAAGATGGATGGATGGATGAATAGATATATAGATAAGTAGAAGGATAGATGGATAAAACGATAGGTGGATGGATGGATGGATGGATGAATGGATAGATAGATAGATAGATAGATAGATAGATAGATAGATAGATAGATAGATAGATAGATAGATAGATAGATAGATAGATAGATAGATAGATAGATAGATAGATAGATAGATAGATAGATAGATAGATAGATAGATAGATAGATAAATTGATCAATTGATTAATCGATTGATTGATTGATCGATCAAATGAACGATTGAACTTTATTGTCATTACACATGTACAAGTACAAGGCAACGAAATGCAGTTTAGGTCTGACCAGGAATGCATTAGCAGCAAGTCCAGGATATAGCTATAAGTTATAAAGTGCAGTTACTGTATAGAAAAATGATGGTGATGTTTATAGATATGAACATTATGTACAGGTTGTATTAACTATGAACATAATGAGATTTACAATATATGAATATATGTAGAGGTTGCTATCAGTAATCAGAGGTATGCAGATTGACATGATCATTATATGCATTTGTAGTGGGTATGTACAATTCAAGATGATTTAGTGCAATGTAGTGCGATTAATTGTGCAAATGTTAAATATTGTGTAATGGCGTGTTTATGGGGAGTGTAAGTTATGAGGAGAGTGTGGGGGTGTATGAGGGGGAAAAAGAGTCAGTGGGGGTCAGAGTTCTAAAGGGAGACAGCTCTGAGGAAAAAGCTGTTTCTCAGTCGTCTGGTTTTTGTCCAGGTGACCTGAAGCGCCTGTCGGAAAGAAGTATAGAATGTCAATTAAACCTATAAAACATCTGGAAAGCATATTCAGTTTGAAGATAAATATCTTATTGAACAAATAATATTTTATAATCTGCATAATAAAATTTTTTCTATGCTTTATCTGATGTTCAAAGTTACATTGTTAACACACAGGCATGGAAAACAGGGAAAAGTCATGGAATTTTGATATGAAATTTTCCATGCCTGGAAAAGATTTGGAAATATACAGAAAGGCCCACAATTGTTTTGGAATTAGTAATTGTTTTAGAAAGTTGACTTTATTTCTTTCCTGTCCTTGGCCAAAAACATGCTTTCGCATTATTAGTGCTGTGTAAGCATTATCTAAATAATTTTTACATAGATATAAATATAAATTTAAACTAAGTAGATTGTTGCATGTCTTATTTTATGCTGTAATCAATTTGCTTATTATTTACCATATACAGTACATATACCGGCCACTTTATTAGGTACACCAGTCCAACTGCTCGTTAACACAAATTTCTAATCAGCCAATCCCATTGCAGCAACTCAATGCATTTAGGCATGTAGACATGGTCAAGACGATCGGCTGCAGTTCAAACTGAGCATCAGAATGGGGAAGAAAAGTGATTTAAGGGACTTTAAACGTGGCATGGTTGTTGGTGCCAGACGGGCTGGTCTTAGTATTTCAGAAACTGCTGATCTACTGTGATTTTCACGTACAACCATTTCTAGGGTTTACAGAGAATGGTCCAAAAAATGGGAAAATATCCAGTGAGTGGCAGTTATGTGGGCGTAAATGCCTTGTTGATGACAGGGGTCAGAGGAGAATAGCCAGACTGGTTCCAGCTGATAGAAAGGCAACAGTAACTCAAATAACCACTCGCTACATTTGAGGTATGCAGAAGAGCATCTCTGAACGCACAACACGTCCAACCTTGAGGTGGATGGGCTACAGCAGCAGAAGACCACACCGGGTGCCACTCCTGTCAGCTAAGAACAGGAAACTAAGGCTACAATTTGCACAGACTCACCAAAATTGGACAATAGAAGATTGGAAAAATAATGTCTGGTCTGATGAGCCTCGATTTCTGCTGCGACATTCAGATGGTAGGGTCAAAATTTTGCATCAACAACATGAAAGCATGGATCCATCCCACTTTATATTAACGGTTCAGGCTGCTGGTGGTGGTGTAATGGTGTGGGGGATGTTTTCTTGGCACACTTGGGGCCTATTAGTACCAATTGAGCATCATGTCAACACCAAAGCCTACTTGAGTATTGTTGCTGACCATGTCCATCCCTTAATGATCACAGTGTACCCATCTTCTGATGGCTACTTCCAGCAGGATAATGCACCATGTCATAAAGCGCAAATCATCTCAGACTGGTTTCTCGAACATGACAATGAGTTCACTGTACTCAAATGGCCTCCACAGTCACCATTACTCAATCCGATAAAGCACCTTTGGGATGTGGTAGAACGGGAGATTCACATCATGAATGTGCAGCCGGCAGATCTGCAGCAACTGTGGGACGCTATCATGTCAATATAGACCAAAATCTCTAAGGAATATTTCTAGTATCTTGTCGAATCTATTCCATGAAGAATTAAGGCAGTTCTGAAGGCAAAAGGAGGTCCAACCTGGTAAAGTAAGGTGTACCTAATGAAGTGGCCGGTGAGTGTACAGTATGCAGTCATTACATGAAACTATAGGTTATTTAATAGGATTGTAGTAGTAAAAATGTGTCTAAACCCCGTTAACAGTTTTTACATCAATAAAAAAAATCCTGCAACCCCAATAAACAGAACCAGATTTTGCACACTGCCCTCTAGTGTCAGTCAGTTCTTCCTACACACACGTGTGCTGTCAGGTTTTGTAGATAATGAAAGTCATTAGTGCAGCAGAGGCTTGGTGGAGGGTGGAAAATGAATAAGCCCCCATTAGGACCCCAGCATGGCCTGAGTCTGTAATGTGTGTAATGAGCGCCGCTGTTCTGTGTTGTGCTGGGCTGTACTGGGATCAGGACTGCTGGGCTGATTAAACACTCTCAGCTGGGCTGAGTAACGCCGCAGTCTCTGCTTGTCTGCTCCACAGGGAGGAAACGCCAACCTGCTGCTGCTGCTCAAGAAAAACAGTGAGGTAAGACATGAGCACATCATTTCCTCACACTGCAGCCTGCTATAGCGATGGGAAGTTTAGGTCTTTTCCTGGAACTGGATCTTTCGGACAATTCGTTTTGCCAGTTCAAAAAAACAAATCACTGGTTCTTTTACGGCACTTAATTACGTCATCATCCACAATGATGTAATGACAATCCTCCCATGCTAGGACTCAAAATCAAATAGGAGTCAAAAATATAAAGTCAATGATCATAATTCAAGTCCCTTAAAACATCACAATGAACTCCAAAGTTTCATACAATTAAGTTTGGCGTCCCAAATGATTTCCATTGAGGTGATCATAACTGTTTTGTTTTATGTGGATGTTTTTCCTGTCTTGAGTTGGTCTCAGATTTGGGTGTGCCATATTTAATGTCTACGGTGATGTTGTAATTGTTGTTTTAAAGATGCGTGGAGTAACGTTATTGAGTGTTTTTGCTCTCTTAAAATTAAGAAATAAAGCATTCATTGCAAGAGGATAGGAAATATCTTTTTACAATATATATATAAATATATTAAAATATTTTTACAAAATTAAACAGGACATGGTAATATATCGCAATAGCTAGCATCAGCATGTGAGCACATTTTTAAATGTCACTTTTTTCAGTGTTTAAATGTTAAATATTGATTTTTAATTGAAGTTATCTGACTGCTCTTGTTAAATGTTAGGTTAAGTTGCATTACTGTCAGTTGTTTAAGATTGGAATGTCATAATTTTTAATAAAAATGTATGAGTATGACAAATTATGAATTAGTTGCATAAAAAGTTCAACAAAGGAAGTTAATATTGAGAGACACTCTGCAAAGTGTTGATTGAGTGTTGTGATAAAAAATAAATCATTAAATAAATATATACACGGTGGTTCATTCCGCTGTGGCGACCCCTGATTAATGAATGGATTAAGCCGAAGGAAAATAAATGAATGAATAAATACACCCAGCAATCTAGAAATAACGTTTTGTCGATATCACAGCCATCTTATTTAATTACTTTTATATATTACAATTTTATATGTAAGTACTCTGTATGGATATATTTGTGATGAGTACAGTTTTGTTTGCTGTTGTTGATACGTTATAATTAAATCATTGTTTTTTGCCTTGTGTTTTCTGACAGCAGGTTCTAACTAGCGTCACTCACCTTCATGACCTCCTGAGCTCTCTTCAGGTGTGTATTTCATAAAGTAAAATAGAATTTTATATATGTATGTAGTTGAAGTCACAATTATTTGATTTTCACAGTATTTCCTAAAATATTTTTTTCTTCTAGAAAGAAAGTCTTATTTATTTTAATTAGAATAAAAGCTTTTTTAAACATTTTAAACCATATTCAATATTATTAGCGCCCTTTAGCAATATTGTCTACAGAACAAACAATCTTTATACAATGACTTGCCTGATTAACCTAATTAACAAAGTTAAGCCTTTAAATGTCACTTTAAGCTGAATACTAGTGTCTTGAAAAATATCTAGTAAAATATGCTGTAAACTATTCTGTCATCCTGGTAAAAATAAAATAAATCAGTTATTAGAAGTCAGGTATTAAAACTATTATATTTAGAATTGTGTTGAAAAAAATCTTATCTTGGGGCAAAATATACAGGGGGAATAATAAATCAGGGTGTGTGTGTGTGTGTTTGTGAGTGTGTGTGTGTGTGTGTGTGTATATAGCCCCCCTTTATTTTTTTTATATTTTTTATTTTTAATTTTTTTATATTTCCCCAATGATGTTTAATGGAGCAAGGAATTATTTATTTATTTATTTATTTTTAATTTTAACTAGAATAAAAAACAGTTTTTACTTTTAAAAAACATTTTAAGGACAATATTATTAGCTCCTTTAAGCTATATGTTTTTTCGATCATCTACAGAACAGACCATCGTTATACAATAACTCGTCTAATTAACCTAACCTGCCTAGTTAACCTAATAAACCTAGTTAAGCCTTTAAATGTCACTTTAAGCCGTATATAAGTGTCTTGAAAAATATCAAGTAAATTATTATTTATTGTCATCTTGGCAAAGATCAAAGAAATCAGTTATTAGAAATGAGTTATTAAAACTATTATGTTTAGAAATGTTTTCACTCTGTTAAACAAAAAGTTGAGTGAAAAATAAACAGGGGGGCTAATAATTTAAGGGGGGGGGGGGATTTTATGTGAAATTAATATTCTTTAATATGAGAGCCTTATATTACATTGTTTTGCTTTTTAAAATGCAGTGTATTTCTGTAATGGCAAAGGTGTATGTTTAGCTCAAAAAGCATTCCTTATTATTAACATCGTTGATGGCATATGCTGCTTAAAATGCCTTGTGCAAATCGACATAAGGTTTTGAGAGTGCTTTTTAAAACATGGTACAATTATAGATATTTAAAAAAAACATTTTTGAACAATTTAAAGAGAGACTTCACCCCGAAAAAAGAAAATTATGTTATAATTTACTCGCCCTTTACTTTATTCAGGCGATTAATTTATTTCTTCTGTTGAACAAAAAAGAAGATATTTTAAAAAATGTTGGTAACCTGTAACCATCGACTTCCATAGTGTTTGCTTTTTCCACCATGGAAGTCAATGGTTACAGCTTTCTTCAAAACATCTTCTTTTGAGTTCAACTGAAGAAAGAACCCCGAGTTAGGTTTGGAACCACTTAAAGGTGATTAAATAGTGAGCATATTCTCATTTTTGGGTGATATATTCTGTCTATGCATCCTTGCTGAATAAAATATTTATTTTTAAATTATTAGTTTAAATTGATTAATTTATTTTTATTTATTCCTGTTGGACACACAGAAGTTTGCCTGATTTAATATACCTTATTAATGTGTTTGCAGATATACTTGTATAATAAATAAATATATAAATTAAAGCACACCAGGCTTAGTGTGTCCATTTACAATGATTTACCCTTAATCTATTTCCTGTATGCCTTTTTGTCTCCAGGCTGTGGTCTTGCAGCAGGACACGTTCATCGAGGACCAGCGTCAGGCCCTGAGCGAGCGTACCCCATCCCGGCCTTCCTCTCGCCCTCCATCACTGGTGGAGCAGGAAAAGCAGCGCAGCCTGGAGCGCCACCGACAGGACGCCGCCGCTCTGCTCCGCCAGCAGGCGGCTCACGCTGAGGAGAAGAAGCGCAAGGAGAAGGAGTGGGACGTGAAGGAGCGTGAACTGACCGACCGCGAGGTGCTGCTACATGTCAGGGAGGAGGAGGTGCGCAGGCGAAGCAGAGAGATGGAGGAGGCGCAGGTCCAGCTCCAGGGGCGCAAGGAGGACTATCAGAAAGATCTGGAGCGGCTGAGAGATGCTCAGAGGAAGCTGGAGAGAGAGAGAGAGCAGATGCAGAAGGAGATGGAGAGAGTCGAGCACCTGAGAGAGGTCCAGGTCAGACTTTTTAAAGGGATAGTTCACTTGTAAAGGACAATTCTGGCATCGTTTACTCACCCCTTTACTTGTTTCAAACCTTTATGAGTTTCTTTCTATTGTCGAACACAAAAGAAGATAATTTGAAGAATGCTGAAAACCTGTAACCATTGACTTCCGTAGTATTAGTTTTTCCTTCTGTGGAAGTCAGAGGATTTCAGCAAACTTCAGAATATCTTCATTTGTGTGAGACAAAAGAAAGAAAAGTTTGGACCGTAATCCACTTGAGGGTGAATAAATATTGAGAACATTTTGATTTTTGGGTTTCTTTAAGACCAAAGTTGATGGAGAAGCATCAAGACTTTGAAGTAAAAACTCCTAGAGAAATGGAATTGTAAATGAGCAAAGAGTAATCTGTGACTTCCGTAATATTAGTTTTTCCTGCGGTGGAAGTCACAGGATTTCAGCATACTTCAGAATATCTTCATTTGTGTGAGACAGAAGAAAGAAACTCATAAAAGTTTGGACCATAAACCACTTGAGGGTGAATAAAAAGTGAGGACGTTTAGATTTTTGGGTCTCTTTAAGACCATAGTTGATGGAGAAGCGTCAAGATTTTGAAGTAAACGGGGTTTACTGACCCACAGAAGTTCCTAGAGAAATAGAATTTTAAATGAGCAAACAGTGGGCATGGCTTGTTTTTTCCACCGCGTGCTGAATGGATGTTGTAAAGTAAGCATGTAGTAAGTAGTAAAATGAAGAGGGAGTGTGCTGGGGTGTCCATGGAAACGGCTGAAAAAAATGTAACTATTTATTTTGGTTAACAAGCACAAATTAATATTAAATAAGCAATGAATACAGTGATACTGGGTTGAATTATGTAATAATTATAAAATAATTAAACATAGAAAACAGAAATAATAAAAGATTTAAATAAAATAGCCAAACTCTGAATAAACAAAAAATGTATTTAAACGAAATACAATAATCAGATTTTTAAAGTAATAAAAAAGTAATACACATAATTAAATGAGTACATTCATAAATAAATGTGTACTATAATAAAAGGAGAAACCAGTTTTTTTTTTAAGTAATGATGTAATTTAGTTCACCTCAAAATGAAAGGGTACTCACTATTTCTCAATTTCTCAACTTACCATTCTCAAATGTTTCAAGTAGCTCTGTTGAACTCAAAAGAAGATATTTTGAAGAATGCTGAAAGCCTGTAACCATTGACTTCCATAGTATTCGTTTTTCCTGCTGTGGAAGGTTTTCACAGGATTTTAGCATTCTTCAAAATATCTTCTTTTGTGTTTGACAGAAGAAAGAAACTCAACAACAAGAAACAAACAAGATTCATATTTCGTAGTAAACAGAAATTTTATCAAAAAATGAAATTGATCAAAAAGTATTACAAAAACTAAATAAACTATAATAAAAGGGAAAATCTGTTTAAAAAAAAGTAATGATGTAACTTATTTCACCCCAAAATGAAAACGTTCTTGCTGTTTAATCACTTTCAAATGGTTCAAGTAGTTCTGTTGAACTTAAAAGAAGATATTTTGAAGTATGGAGGCTGGAGAGAGAAAGAGCAGGGGCTTCATGTATCAACGCTGCGTACGCACAAAAACTTTGCAAACGCCAGGTTTCACGCTCAGAATCGCTCACGTTTGGATTTACTAACAATGAAATGAACGTGGGAATGTGCGCACCTCCACGCCAACTTCATGGCAGGCGTACGCACATTTTTTGTGCGTGTCTGTTTTATTTCCATTGGCGACTCCTAGAGGCAGGTGTGTTAAATTGCACTCTACAAAGTGTCTGAGCCTTGCAATGGCAGCTGTATGAGACGGGTTCATCGAGCAGGTATTTAAAGTTTCCATACCATACAGTTGACCAGCTAAACATTAAAGCGCAATTTGCAGCGGTTGCCTGTTTTCCCAATGTAATCGGAGCTATGTACTGCACGCACATTGCTATAAAGGCACCAACCGAAGATGAATTTGCATGCGTGAATAAGAAACATTTCCATTCAATAAATGTGCAAATAAAATATGATGCACAAACTTATTAATGATTCCTACTTGTCTTCCTCGTGATAAATAGTTGGCAAAATCTGATATGTAGCGTGGGAAAAAAGAAGAATGAGTCCATCATACGCTGGATTCGAACCGAGTTCATGCTCGAACGTGTCAAAACATGATAAAATGCGTTTTATGAGCTGCGCCACCCAGACTGTTAAGAGCAATACAACGTTTTGCACCTATAAATCTCACAAATTTTTTTTTAAATCCACTCAGTGCGATGTTCAGATTTAACTGTGTTAACTGCATCAGCTAAACTCTCCCCACTCTATTTTTTTCTTTTGTTATTAATTCTGGAGGACAAACTTGCAAATAACACCATTTTTCTCTGGTCTACCTCTGAAAGGAGCACCTCCAATTCACGTTCTGTTCAAAGTTTCTATTTTTGCTTGCTTTTGCAATTGCTTTTTCGTTGGGTTTTGCCAAAGTAGAGTCATTGGCATATTCATACGGGGGAGGAGGCAGGGAGGGGTTTTGCGCTCGTGCATGTTGCGCTAAGTTTCATGTTCATTCGAATGTACAAATAATATGCGTGGGATTCAGCGCACTGTTTTAAACATCTAAATTTTTTTCATTTACAGCTTTGTGCGTATGCAATGTTTTAGTATGATTTTCACGCAAGTCTTCATACATGATGCCCCAGATGTCCATGTAAATGTTGTCACAAACCCTAGAAAAAGGTGTTCACACCACAGGTTAATAGTAAGCTAAGGTAATGTTAATTGCATAATGCAAATCGTACATTCATGCTAACAAACAAACGATCAAAAGAAATATCTTAATGCAATTCAATTAAAATATATAAGATTTTAAATTGATGTGTACTTTAAACTTTAATTATGTACAATTAAAATGATTAAAATCTTTATTTCTGGAGTAATCCACCAAAATTTTGCAGTTCAGGCCACGTTTTGGCACCGGTACTGTTTTAAAAGTATTAATTAAGGCAAATCATTTTTCTTTTTTAAATATTTCCCAAAATGATGTTTAACAGAGCAAGGAACTTTTCACAGTATTTCCTATAATGTTTTAAATAAAAGTCTTATTTGCTTTATTTTGGTTTTTAATTTTTAAAAATCATTTTAAGGTCAATATTATTAGCCCCCTTGAACAACTGTTATTTTGGATTGTCTATGGATCAAACCATTGTTATACAGTGACTTGCCTAATTACTCTAACTTACCTAATTAACCTATTCACTTTATTCTTCGCCGACGAGCGGGCGCAGCCATTTGAATCTTTTTGGCTTGAGACTTCCGGTCTCATTCACTTCCATTCATTCTTAGACATTAAAAACTGCTTGTTTTACTGTTTGATGTTGCAAACTGTTATTTTCTGATTATATTATTCTACTTGGTCTGTATAGCCATGCAAACATTTGTTTGTAGAGCAAGTAGTTTGACCGTTTTCTGCCGTTTATTATTCCTAGTCATTTCTCCCATATGCGACTAATTCAGAAGATCTAAAACGATCAAGAAAACAGGCGCACTTCAGCATTTTAGAATAAGGTCAATAGTTAAGCCTTTAAATGACACTTTAAGCTGAATACTCTTATCTTGAAAAATATCTAGTAAAATATTATGTGCTGTCATCATGACAAAAAATAAAATAAATCAGTTATTAGAAATGAGTTATTAAAACTATCATGTTTAGAAATGTGTAAAAAAAATATTCTTTCCATAAAACAAATTGGGGACAAGAATATATAATAATTATAGTAATTCAGGAGGTGTGTATGTGTTTTTTTTTTTCATGACTAACAGAAGTTTCATAAAACTTCCCTTACAGTCTAGAAATAAACATTCATTCTCTGACAGACTGACCTATGATATTGTGTTCTAACATCTCTTCTGGTTTGTTGTCCAGGCTCGTCTTCATCGCACCCCATCCAGCACATCCGAGGATTCGCTGAAGCTCCACAGCAGCAGCTCCATTGAGCGAGAGGCTTGGGAGAGCGAGTTATCGTCGAGTCCCCGGAAAAACTCTCTGTCCCGCATGGACTCCAAACAGAAGAGCCGCAGCCTGTTCTCTCTGGGTGGAAAGAGTCAGAGCACAGAAGGACAAAACCAGATGCCCACACGACTGCTTCAGCTGGCCACATCCAAGGAGAAGAAGGACAAGAAGAAGAAGAAGAGCAAAAGCCAGACTCCTCAGGATGCAGGTAAACACACACACACAGACACACACCACATCACACAAGCTAATTTAATAGAGATCATGATAAACAATTAATTCAATTAGTCTGCAAAACCACTGCTGCCACATCCGTTGTGACTGGAATTGGTAACAAGTTCTCTGTCGCAGAACATCACACATTTATTTCTGGTAAATGTGAGAGACTGCAGGCAAGAAAAAACATATGGGTTTTTCATGCACCTGTCAGTTTTCATGTTTTGGCCTTTTTGGATTTTCATAAAGTGTTTTTTAAAGTTTTTTAGACTGCTAAAGAAAACATCTAACATACTTTTAAGTCTTGTGCACACCAGGATGCCTACCACTCTTTCATAAAAGCAGTGTTTTTTAAACATTGAAACATGAGTTGAATGAACGTGCCAAATTACGCCGACAGTAGCTGAGGCTCAGGGAATAACAGAAATACCTCATTATACAAGATGGCGCTACAAACACCCAGTAGTACTGTTGCACAGTAGTAGCAGTCAGCTGTTAAAAACTAGCCTAGAGCATCATCTGCTGTTAAAAACTAGTCTTTAGCATCATCTGCTGTTACAAACTAGCCTAGAGCATCATCTGCTGTTAAAAACTAGCCTAGAGCTCCATCTGCTGTTAAAAACTAAAAACTAGCCCAGAGCATAATCTGCTGTTAAAAACTAACCTAGAGCTCCATCTGCTGTTAAAAACTAGCCTAGAGCATCATCTGCTGTTAAAAACTAGCCTAGAGCTCCATCTGCTGTTAAAAACTAGCCTAGAGCATCATCTGCTGTTACAAACTAGCCTAGAGCTCCATCTGCTGTTAAAAACTAGCCTAGAGCATCATCTGCTGTTAAAAACTAGCCTAGAGCATCATCTGCTGTTAAAAACTAGCCTAGAGCATCATCTGCTGTTAAAAACTAGCCTAGAGCTCCATCTGCTGTTAAAAACTAGCCTAGAGCTCCATCTGCTGTTAAAAACTAGCCTAGAGCTCCATCTGCTGTTAAAAACTAGCCTAGAGCATCATCTGCTGTTAAAAACTAGCCTAGAGCTCCATCTGCTGTTAAAAACTAGCCTAGAGCATCATCTGCTGTTAAAAACTAGCCTAGAGCTCCATCCGCTGTTACAAACTAGCCTAAAGTGCCATCTGCTGTTAAAAACTAGCCTAGAGCTCCATCTGCTGTTAAAAACTAGCCTAGAGCTCCATCTGCTGTTAAAAACTAGCCTAGAGCATCATCTGCTGTTAAAAACTAGCCTAGAGCTCCATCCGCTGTTACAAACTAGCCTAAAGTGCCATCTGCTGTTAAAAACTAGCTTAGAGCATAATCTGCTGTTAAAGCTAGCTTGAAGTGTTGTCTGCTGTTAAAACTAGCCTAGAGTGAGAGCTATCTGTTGTTAAAAACTATCCTAGACTGACATCTGCTGTTAAGAATTAGCCTAAAGCTCCATCTGCTGTTAAAATCTAGGCTAGAGTAGAGCGCCATCTGTTGTTAAAAACTAGCTTAAAGCGCCATCTGCTGTTAAAATCTAGCCAAGAACACCATCTGCTGTTAAAAACTAGCCCAGCCTAGAGTGCCATTTCTTGTTAAAATATAGCCTAGCATGTCATCCAATGATAAAAACTATCATAGAGTGCCATCTGCTGTTAAAAACTAGCATAGGGCTCCATCTGCTTTTATCTTGGAGAATCATCTGCTGCTAAAAACTCATCTAGAGAACCATTTGCTGTTAAAAACTAGTCTAGAGTGAAAAACTAGTGTAGCCTAGATTGCCATTTGCTTTTAAAAACTAGCCTAAAGTGCCATCTGTTGATTAAAAACTATCCTAGATCGCCTCCTGCTATTTAAAAACTAGCCTAGAGCGTCATCTGCTGTTAAAAACTGAGCTCAGTCAATTCAAGATAGATTATCATTGCATTTTGAAAATCTCTGAATCAACACAGAATTGATTTCTGGAATGTTTTTTTCTCTACCGCTGTAGTCAGCAGGATGGCATTTGCTTCAGAAAAAAGTGTGAATAATTGACTAGTAATTTGTCTTGTGTATCTGTCTAAGTCTGTGTTTATTTCTCAATTCCTGCGGTTTGTTTTGTGTCTCCAGCTTCACATCTGCTGCCTCTGACGGAGCCGGCTGTGGATGGAGAGATCTTCTTCTGCTGACTTTTACCCATCATCCCTTCTGTCTCCTGGAATCTTGATCAGATCATGTAGGAAGTCACCCTAAGTGCCCTCTTCACGGTTCGGCAGAAGCAGTTTTGCTCCGACGATCTCTTTATAGAGTAATGAATCTCCCCAAACCCCAAATTCAAAAGAAGAATAAGGAATAATACTTGGCTTAAACCAAATGAAGCCTATTTTGGGGTTGCTTTGTGCATTTTGACATTATTTTAATAATAATTTAACACATTTATTCAAAATTCTCATTACTGTAATGTAATGTACTGTAATATAGACCTATACAGACACACACACACACACACCATAGAGTGTTTATATACCATAGTAAATTCATTCATTTAGCTTCGGCTTAGTCTCTATTTCAGAGATCACCACAGTGGAATGAACTGCCAATTATTTCGGCATATGTTTCACGCAGCGGATGCTCTTCCAGCTGCAACCCAGTACTGGGAAACATCCATTGTCACTCATTCACACACATACACTATGAACAATTTAGCCTACCCAATTCATTTATAACCATCTACTTTATTGCTGTGAGGCGATTGTGCTACCCACTGCGCCACCGTGATGCCCCTACTTATTTTTTATAATATTTAACTAATATAATAATTATGCAATTATTAATATTATTGAATTAAATATTAAATATAATCAAAGTAATTTATCCTTTTTTTCTTTGGAGGTTAATTTAATTTTATTGTTTTTGTTTTTAAAGTAAATTTTTATCAGGTTATTGTGATAGATCTTCTTAAATTATATACAAAAATGATAGTTTTTTATATAAAATATTCAATAGTTTTTGATGATAGTTTTTTATATAAAATATTGATTTTTATATAAAATATTCAAATCTAATAGCTGATGTTTTCAAATATAAAACAAAAATTGAGGGAAAAAACATTACAGTAATGAGAATCAATAATAATTTTGTATTATTTCTAAACAACGGAACAAAAACGATCAATGAATAATTAGATTTTTACATTTTTGAGGATCATGGTAGAAGTATGGTATAATATATTAATTGTTTATCGTATAATATGTAAATTGTCATGAAAATAATGTCAATGCACATATACATATGAAGAGTTCAGATGCAAAAACCTCTAAATGCCATCAGAAATTTCCATTAATAATGACAATTTGTCCCAGCCTCCTTTGTTTATGTGGAAATACTTCACTTTAAAGACCAAGAATAGGACTTAATCTTTGCCATAAAAATTATATTACTCAACATACACACAGGAGCCTGATAAAAATGCTCATTTAAAGAGAAAAATTTCAGATGGCATTTAGATGTTTTTGCATCTAAACCAGGGGTGGGCAAACTCGGTCCTGCATAGTTTAGCTCCAACTCTAATCAAAAACACCTGAACCATGCCAATCAGTGTCTTCAAGATCACTAGAAATCTATAAGCAGGTGTGTTTGATGAGAGTTGGAGTTAAACTGTGCAGGACACCGGCCCTTCAGGACCGAGTTTGCCCATCCCTGATCCAAACCATTCAACTTTATCCAACTTTTAGGAACAACAAATAATAACTTGACTTCTAGTTGATCATTTAGTATCAGAAGTGGGCAAGGCCTCTAGAATACGCTTATTTTCCCAAATAAAATATGATCATGACCTAATTTTGAAATTGAATAATTGAATCAGGACAGTAAAGTCTGACTTTGTTTAGACAAAAGTCTTGTCACTTAACAGAAATAATGTCCAGTATAGAATATGAAGTCATGGTGCTGTGGAAAAAGAACGAATATTGGGTATGACTCCCATGACCTTGGAGGACTGCATCCATACATCTCTGCAATGACTCAAATAACTTATTAATAGTCATCTGGAATGGCAAAGAAAGCCTTCTTGCAGGACTCCCAGAGTTCATCAAGTTTATTTGGATTCCTATTTAAAGCCTCCTTCATCTTACCCCAGACATGCTCAATAATGTTCACATCTGGTAACTGGGCTGGCAAATCCTGCTTTCAGGAACTTTGATGTGGAGGCTGAAGTATGAGAAGGAGCGCTATCCTGCTGAAGAATTTGCCCTCTCCTGTGATTTGTAATATAATGGGCAGCACAAATGACTTGACACCTCAGGCTGTTGATGTTGCCGTCCACTCTGCAGATCTCTCGCACTCCCCCATACTGAATTTAACCCCAAACCATGATTTTTCCTTCACCAAACTTGACTGATTTCTCAGATTCTTGGGTCCTTGTGGGTTCCAATAGGTCTTCTGCAGTATTTCTGAAGATTGGGATGCAGTTCAACAGATGATTCATTTGAAATATCTGCCACTTTTCCAACTGATCAATTACAAGTCAAGTTATTAAATGTTGCTCTTACAACTGGGATCAACAGCAAGACTTTTGTCAGGTAGTGAGAGAGATAGACGGAGAGATTCAATTCTTTTACATGCACTTGCATTCAAGCTTTATGAGATATTTATCGGATTTTTTAATATAATGTATAGACTGTCTTGAGTTTCATTTTTTGCACTCATTCATAAATCACCACCAAAAAAAAACTTAAGATAAAAGAATTATAGTTGGCCAACTGAAGGCTATAAAAACCTTTGGGCTTATCGCACACAAGAATGACAATTTAAAAATTAATCTGGAGTTTTAACATTTAAACGGATGCGGACGAGAGAGCAGGTGCTTTTCCATTTCCCCTCATGTTTTCTATTTTAGGTTCTCGACGGGAGTCCCGTCTTTGAAAAGCCATCGAGCACTTTAACACCATCCACACGCCACCGAGATATGACAATCAATTTTTCATTAGCGTTCCAAAGATAAAGCCTTGAGGACAGTTTTTGTGGGAACGTTGTATAACAAGCCAATGTATTTCATTCTCTAATCCTTCAGAGTTTAATACCTCATGACTTGAGGAAGGAAGAGCTGTAAATACTGTATTAATCGTAGATATTTTAAACTACCTGCTGGACAGGTACAGGAAATAAACAGGATCAGAATATATTACAAGATACAGTACAAACGTCATCAACAATACATTTCACACCCCGTTTTTGCACTCAAATGTCCAATTATTTCATCAGCATCATCTTATAAGCCGTCTTATGTAGACATTCTGTTAGTCTGATATTGTTTGGAGTTATTTATTAGTACAAGAACATTGTTGTTAAAATACTACATGCTCTTAAAGGGACAGTTCACCCAAAAATGAAGTTCTGTTATCGTTTATTCATCCTCTGCTTGTTTCCGAACAGGTTTCTTTCTTCTGTTGAACACATACGGATATAACTTTGTTGTAAACAATAGCCATCGACTTCTGTGGTATTTCTATTTCTAAAATGGAGGTCAATAGCTGCCGATTTCCAACATTTCACAAATTATATCTTGTTGTTGTAAGTTAGTCTGCTATAAATTACATTCAAAACAACAACTGTTGACCAAAGTGCTGTACAAAAGAATAAAAAAAACATCCTCAAATACGTAGAAAAGAATAGATAAACGAAAATAAAGATTCAATAAATGAGAGACCTCAATAAAAATATGACTTAAGCTTAGGTTTAAACAAAGACATAGATAATAAACTTCTATGATTTGGGGATGATGCTAACATAAATAAAGGCATAAAGGAACTAGCAGCGGGTAAATAAACATTTTTGAGTGAACTTTCCTTATTTTTAAGTCTATTTTGTGCAGGTTTACGTTACAATTTTGTCCTGCACTGACTGAACCTCTCCTCACGAGGGCAGCAGAGTTGCGTTTTCGTGTTCTGCTCCTCCGTGGATTTACATAAGCTCTCGGAGATGATGTCAGAGGAGACACGGTGACGCAGTGCAGGAATTATGATTTCTTCATATGCACAAAGTGGAATTATTGGTTCATAATTGAAGGAAAACGGTGCCTAAGGCCTATACAGAGCTTTCAGCGACACTTTTGTCCTCAGGAACAAACATGGCAAACTCTATTCAGGCAAATATTATTGACATCGTGCATAAATAAAATAAATACAAATTAATTAAAGTCATTTAGCCTTAAAGAAATGACGCTGTGCACTAAAATATAACCTGGCATTTTCTCAGGAGTTTAGTGTCATGTTATTCATTGTTGTTGTACAGTGAGGTACATGTGTTTTCTTGCTATATAAAAGGAGCTAATGTTGTGTACATATCTTGTGTAACATGTTTAAATGTAAAGTGTTGTTTCATTTGTGATTCATTTTGTAAGATGTGTTTTGTCAGATGTAAGATGTATTTATCCTCGTCTTGATGCAGGAGATGCAACATTGTCATCAAATTAAAACCTGTTGCAAAACAAATGTATGACTTGTGTTTATTTTTTTACTTTTGTTTTAATCTGTTTAATGAACTGCAGATTTATTCGTTCGTTTTTAAACGTGACTTTAAGAGTATGATCATGCCTTTATTTAAGAATTTAAGAGATTGCCACTGCCCACACACACTTTGCTTAATTTGTCTACATAACTTCTTATATACATTTTGTTAGCAATTTTTTATATGCTAAGCCTTTAAACGTCACACAAACTATTAATACAAATTCAGACACAAACTATATCCAAGACCATTGCAAAAAGTGCAAAAAAACACATCCAGAAAAAATAAAATACATGAAAATAAAAAAGAAAATAAATAATACTATAAATAAATTCAGTCATTCATGTATTCATTCATATATTTTGTTATCGGCTTGCCACAATATATATATATATATATATATATATATATATATATATATATATATATATATATATAGATATATAGATAGTGCACCCCTCACAAATCTCTTATTTTTAATTAATATTTTTTATAGGAAGCTATACAATATTATATTTGTGCATATACATTGGATTAGTCAGTACTTATCTATAAATCTGGAGCTTATCTAACAAAATAACTTGCGATAGCAGTCCAAAAAGTAGTAAAGCCAAATTTATGTTATAGAAAAATATTCTAGAAAAGTATAAATATATAGAAAAGTATATAGAAAAATCAAGAAAAGCAAAAAAAAAAAAAAAAAAAGGTAAAATTTTGTTGAAATTTTGTAGGTTGTAATTTATTTTTTTTGCTATATTTTGCTTGAATTCAATTGTATCATTTTTCAATGTCTAAATATGTTTGGTGACTAAAATGTTATTTGAATACATATTTCTGTTTAATAAATCTGTTTTGTTTAAATGCACTAATATATAATGCCTATTCACTGAGAAATTGATACAAATATTCATTTATATATATATATATATATATATATATATATATATATATATATATATATATATATATATATATATATTAGGGATGGGAAGATTAACCGATATGTATCGA